AACTAAATAGCGGCGTATGATACGCCGCGGGTCGGCTCGTAAGTTATATTCAATTTGTTTCGTTGACTCATACGTATATTACATAATTTAGTAATGTGCATAAAATCAATATTTACCGCTAACGGTTGTTGTATAACACGGAATATTAAAACAACCGCCACAAAGGAATAACTAGAAAGCTAATAAATGTTTCATTATTCAAAGGCTGAAATAGTCTATGAATGAGTTTTATCATGTCGAAGACGGGATCCGGACAAAAGGCCGACATGGACAAAAGGCCGACATGGACAAAAGGCCGACAAGACAAAAGGCCGACAAGACAAAAGGCCGACTGCTAAAAGGCCGACACCCAAAAGGCCGACAAGACAAAAGGCCGACAAGTTTTATAAATAACAAACTACAATTACAGGCATGTTTAATATCTAAAATATGTAATTATATACGACTTTTTAAGTTTCTCATAAATATTCTTAGTTACATACAATTGGATAAAATAAAACACACGATCTAACAGCAATTATTTGTTGCTGATATATTGGTCCATATATAGGGAAATCACAAGGGTAAATTTACACAAAAAACAACAATAACTTACCGATTTCGGCACACTTGTATCACAATCACAACAAAACTAATGAATCCGACGAATATAGTATACACTTTTTTTTACGCAATTCGCAAAGGACGAAACTAAAATATAATTCAAATTTTGCCTGTACTTAACATGTAGTCTAGGTATGAAAGACAGCAGTGACAGCATTTCGCAATATTTAGGTGTTGATTCTTTGTATTTAAGACGCAACCGTAATCTCCAGTCGCTTGACCCGATGGTTCACCTTATAAGGATAGCAACTAGCACCGTCTCTTCTCTTTAACGTTTCACCTTTTTTCATGCCTTATTTCGATGGTTGTCAAGATAGGAGCTATGCAGTAACACATATTTTGCGACATTAGTATTTTTATGTTTGTCGGCCTTATGGTTTGTCGGCCTTATGGTTTATCGGCCTTATGATCTGTCGGCCTTACGGCTGTCTGCCTTATGGCTGTAGGCCTTATGTCCTATCGGCCTTATGTCCTGTCGGCCTTATGTCATGTCGGCCTTTTGGCTGTCGGCCTTTTGTCCTACACCCGTCGAAGACATATGGTGGTCGACTCAGCTCGACTCAAACTGTTATAGTGTTAAGAAATATTTGGATCTGTTATCTAATTTTAGTTATTCAAGCGAAGGCTGTCTGATAAAAATTTAATGTCTAGTGATGCGGAATACAATATGAAAACTATTATAAAACTTTTCGCAGAGAACTTGTAAGATTGCGAACAAAGGATTATTTTTAGTGAATATGGCCATAAAATAGTATTTTAAACACATATAAAAAAATTCTCACAAAAGTTATAATTATCTTATTAAAAAAATGGACAAAGTATAAAAAAATGCAAGAAACCCATTATGACGAAAAATATTGATTTTGGTGATTTTGTAATGAGCATATTCCCTTAAATTTTTTGAAATTGTATTTTTTTTCCATTGTTTTTTTTTTAACTTTCTCATATACGAAGTATAGAGGAAGTATTGTAATGGGGGGAAGATCGAGATTTTTACAAATATACACGTTTTACACCCCCTTAGTATATATAGTTTTGAAATTTTGTCCGTATGTCTGTGTGTGTGTATGTGTGTATGTATGTGTGTGTATGTATGTGAACACCATAACTTGAGTACCGTTACAGCTAGGTTGATAAAATTTCATATATAAGTAAGTATTATATTAAATTTGTAGTTCTGTATCAACTTTTCAGTGATTTCCGGTAATCGGAAGTAGAACTTTTTCTACTTCAAATTTTTCAAAAGCCTATAACTTGAGTACTGTTTACACAAAATTTCACATGTAAGTAACAGATAAAATTCTCTGCCTTTTTTCACATTTTGAGTAATTTCCGTTGACCAGAAGTAGTAATTTACGCTATTTCCGATTTCTCAAAAAAAGTCATGTGAACGTATATAGTACTAATAATATTCCGCACAAATTATACACATATTGTTTGGCATTCACTTGGTGAGCAATTTTAACACGTTCAAGTAATCAAAAATAGATTAAAAACTATGTCTATATCCCAAGTTGCCATCACCCGTAGTGTTATATAAGAATATTGAGAAAGTTTAGGGGAGATCTTACTTACTTACACTTAATCCTCATCACTCCCTGTGGAGTATAGGGCAACAACAAATTTCCGCCATTCCACCCTGTCCTGGGCGAGCCACTTTAGTTCATGCCAGGTTTTGCCAGTAGCCTGTACTTCTTCTTCCATCTCCCTCCTCCATGTTCCCAGTGGTCTTCCTCTACTTCTCTTTCCGGGTGGGTTCCACTTCAGCGCCATGTTGGGGAGTCTTTTTTTGCTCAGCGTAGGACATGGCCCAGCCATCTCCGTCTCCTCGTTCTAACTTCTGAGACAATGTCGTTTAATCCTGTCCTTCGCCATATTTCCTTGTTCGGGACTTTGTCGTCCCACTTTATCCTGAGGATGCGTTGGAGGGATCTTCTTTCAAAGCCTCTGAGTCGGCTGTCTACTTTTTTGTTTAGTTTCCATGACTCTGCAGCATAGAGGAGTACAGAACGTACATTAGACTTATAGATCCTTATTTTAGTTCTCTGCTGCAGTGAGGATGATTTCCAGATCTTAGCGAGTCTGTTGAAAGCTTGTGCTGCCATTGCTATTCTGGTGGCAATTTCTTTCTCCATGCTGCCATTTGCTGATATATAGCTGCCGAGGTACTTAAAGTCTTCGACCTCTTCTAGCTCTGCTCCATTCGCAAAGGTCTTGAGAGCACTTTTGGTTTTTATTTTCATTAGCTTGGTTTTTCCGGAGTTTTTAGGGGAGATCACTCCCGGTTTATTTTTACTTTTATAATGTTTAGACTTGCATCATCTTCTTCTTCTTCTTCGTTCTTAATTATTAGTGTTGAAGGGGATCGAGATTTATCTGCCAGTGGGTTTGAACTCGAGACTTTGTTCGAATTTATCAGCCATGAGCTTTTTTGCCGACTCGACCACGCCTCCAACACAATTAAGCGTTACGTGTCAACTGGTTATGCGCCATTGAGGCCATTGACTCCGATTTCAGCCTGCTTTTCTTTTTGGATTTGCTTCCATAGCCTTTGTCCAACCAAGAACAAACTACAAGGCAGCAGTTGTTTAATTTTGGAGTTGTCTCTCCTAGAAGAGTAGCTGTCCCCAGCTAACGAGCCTCATCTGCCCGAGGGTTCGAACTCGAGACTTTTCGGTTTAGCAACCATGAGCATTACCGACTCGACCACGCCGACCCCTACTTGCATCATAATATGCTTGAAAAGCTGGCCCCAAATGGCTCCAAATATTTTTTTGCCAGAAAGCATATTTTTCAACAAAATTGAATATTTTATAACATTTGTGCAATAAAGACAAAATGACTCCCAGTTTTATTAAGGCTAGAAATAGTCAAACAAATTCTTACTACTAATTAATACTAATAGTTTCGCTGTCTGTCTATCTATCTATCTATCTGTCTGACAAGAACGCTCTAGAGAAAACACAAGGAAAATAAAAACATGCATAGTAATTCGAAAAACGAAGTATGACGTCGACACATTTAGCACAGAGTAAAAAATAATCTCAAGCCGGATAGTGCACACATTAATATGACGTCATTAATTATCGAGTAAACATTCAATACAAAGGCAATTTGGTCTAATCTAAGTGGTTTGCGTGAAGAATTTCTTTCATACAATTCTTCGGGTAGGGGCGAAGCCCCACCCCCGCGTAAGAACGTCTGAGTCCCCCCCCCCCCCCCCCTCCCCAACTCAAAAGAAATTTCCTCATCGATACTCTATAATAAAATTACCGCCTAATTAATGTGTCTAATCTAAAAAGTGGTTTTCTTGCAATTTCTTTAATGCAATTCTTCGCGTAGTGGCTATGCGCGACACCAGTGTTTCTTTCAGACTTTTTCCTCCACGGAGAGGGGTGAGGGTACTTGAAATTTTCGGGGGCGGGGGTAGAATTTTCGGGGAGGGGGCGGACACTGGAAAAAGTATATAATTATATTTCGTTGAATGGGACGGTAGACATGTTTTTTTAGGGGGGTGGGGGGGGGGGGGGTGGTGTGTGTGGGGGGTGGGGGGGTTGTGTGTGTGGGGGGTGGGGGGTGGTGTGTGTGGGGGGTGGGGTGGTTTTAGTTTAGACTTTTTCCTCCCCGGAGAGGGGTGGAGGTACTTGAAATTTTCGGTGGCGGGGGTAGAATTTTCGGGGAGGGGGCGGGCACTGGAAAAAGTATATAATTATATTACGTTGAATGGGACGGTAGACATGGTTTTTTGGGGGGGGGGGGGGTGGGGGTGGGGGGGGGGGGTGGTGTGTGTGTGGGGGGGTGGGGAGGTTTTAGTTTAGAGAAAAGAGACAGCACTATCAGCCTAGCGCCCGTTGTATCCTTCCTCAACGGGCCATTTTTCTCGTATAATAGTAATTTAGCAAACGCTTTTCTTTTTAAATTAGATTAGTAGAGTCAGGGTGTTATGGTGTTAAGGGATGTTTTATTTTTAATATAATTACAGTACTACACTATACACTTTTGACAACTATTGTGTATTTTATCATGGAAAACAATTGTTCTTTCATTGTTTTACTCTCCCTGTCAATTGCGGCTGACTTTAAGGAAAAGGCGGTTTAAAAAAATATTTGAATTGATAAAATAATTCTAAACGGCTTTTCACCGACTTATGTTCAATACACAAAATGAAAATGAGTGTAATCGATGGTTCCCAAACTGCTTAAATTTTTTTAAATGTAACTATAATTTGATAACTTGCCGAATTTTAAAAATGATTTAAAAAAAAAGGATGATTACATAATACTTTACAATCCTATTAACTAGACCATTCTCGTTCATTATTTTAGTTTCGGTTTGCTGACACAAAAGACAAGGCTATGATGGTGGTGGGTTTTATACTGGCAGTAATAAACGGCGCGATGCACACACTAAACGTGGTCCTGTACGGTCATTTTGTTGGGTCATTCATTGAACAGGGATACTATGACAACGTCGCTAAGGCTAGCTCTGTAAACTTGACCTCTTCACACTCTAGCAGACACTAGTAAGTTACCGTATCAAAACTATATTTCAAAACGTTAAGACATACTTTTTCTATAATCTCATTTTTATTCCATTTTATTCAAATGAAAAAATATACTTGCAGTTATAATAATCAAAGCATTTACCCTAATGGTAGCCTACAAGCAGCAAATGATAGCACATTCACTGAAGGTTTGCAAATCGACATCTTTCGGAATTCCCAGAATATTTTCGTTCTAGGCTTTGGTAAGTCTAATTAAATTATTAAAACATATTTTGACATACGTTTGTTTTTTAAAACGTGTTGCAAATATAATGTAAAGTATTCTGTTAGACTGGACAGATTAAGAAAAGAGAGAAATTTGTAAAAGTAAATAAATTTCTACACCTTTATAAGAAACAATTGTAAAGTCTAACATTCACGTAACGAAAAAAAAAAGAAAAACGAATAGAAAGTGTGACATAACAATTCACACAAGCACAACATACTCTATATCTACTATAAAAATGGGATGAATATAATCTCGAATAATCATAAAACCTAACTTGTAGACTTCATTAAGATTTTCGTAAGTGAAAACTGAAATTCAAACCAAATTTTAGACGAAATGTGTCACGTTTTAGTTGGGTCTAGGATATTAAACACCGTCATTAGCCACTAGATGCACTGCCAAGTCCATTAACATCCTGCGTAATCGCCTTACTTTAGATGACATATTATACCTATCTTTACCCATATCATTTTCACCAAGTCTAAACATAATACTAACCAAAATCATATCCCTATCCTTAACCATCTACCCATTCCTACTCTGTATTGTATTTTACCTTGATTTCTGTGTGTTATAAATTGCCAGCTACACTTCTTAAACAATGACTTGTTTTATCCACGACCCAACTCCGTCTTGTTTCAGGTCTGTCTGTGTGTGCGTGGGTGTGTGGAGCGACCAAGAAAATTTTGTTCACGGTCTCAGCCCAGCGCCAAGTGATCCGACTGAGGAAATCTTTTTTCTCCAACATCCTTGTCCAGGAGATTGCCTGGTTTGATGACCACAAGACGGGAGACTTGTCTGTTAGGATGACAGAGTAGGTTCTTTTTTACACTCTTGATAGATATACCAGATTGTGGTAGGATGACAGAGTAGGTGTTGTTACACAATTAATTTATCAAATCTGGAGACCCACTGGTAGGTTGGCAGAGTAGGTTTTGTTACATAATTAATAAACCATATATGGTAGGATGACAGAGTAGGTTTTGTTACACAATTAATATACCAAATGTGGTAGAATGACATAGTAGGTTTTGTTACACAGTCAGTATACCAAATCAGGCAGGATATCAGTAGGTGTTGTTACGCAATTAATATACCAAATCTGGTAGGATGACAGAGTAGGTTTTGTTACACAATTAATATATCAATGTGGTAGGATGACAGAGTAAGTTTTATTACACAATCAATATACTATATCAGGATTGCGAAGTAGGTTTAGGTTCATAATCAATCTACCAAATCAGGTAGAATGACCGAGTAAGATTACTTCCTCAATCAATATACCTTATCAGGAGACTTTATGGTAAGACGAGAGAGTAGAATTACAAATAAAAGCAATATATCTAATCAGAAGATTTGTCAGCTTGTTGGCTGAGTAAGTTTTTTTACTAAAATAGTGCATACAACATAAAACAAATCAGTAGACCTCTCTAGGTGTACAGAAATTTACGCTTAAAAACTATCACATTTCTTACAACAAACAGCATTCAACTTGGCTTAAATGAAGCCACCCTTTTAAACGATTAAAATATGTGATAAAGTGTAGTCCGTCGTCATCTGTGGAGTGGCCAGCACTTTACCACATTTGGCTCGTACTTAATCTTTTCTATCTTTTTGTTATTCATTTAAATTACGCTGTATCTAATTTTAATGTCTAATCTAATATTTAATTAGATTAAAAAGTGAACGGAAAGTTTCATTAGAAGTGGGTTACATTAATAAAAAAGATTAGCCACCAACCCTCAAACATGTTTGTAAAAATAAAATAAAATAATCCTTAAATAAAATATAATAATATGTGATAGAGTGTTTGAAAACGGAAATTTAAACCTCGAAAAAGGATATTTACTGCTTTCTAGCTTTAAATAAATTTTTACCATACTGAATATTAAAAGTTTATAGTCGGCTAAATTTACCACCTATCACCCACCCCGCCCCTTCCACAGAGACGTAAATCTGATCTACAGAGCTATAGAAACAAACTTACCCATGGCCGCACAATGGTTCTCCTGCGGTATTATCAGCTTAATCATCGTTTTCATTTTCGGTTGGAAGCTTTCATTTGTGATGTTGAGCGCCTTCCCCGTTCTTATTGGTGGAGCAGCTGTAGCCAATAGGGTGAGTCATGTGTCAACAGGGTGAGTTATTTTTCCGATACGTTGAGTTAAGTGGCCAGCAGAGTGAGTCATGTGGCCAAAAGGTAAGTCCTGTTACCAAACAGGTGTGTTATGTGGCCAGCAGAGTGAGTCGTGTGGCCAATAGGGTGAGTCATGTGGCCAAAAGGTAAGTCATGTTACCAAACTGGTGTGTCATGTGGCCAGCAGAGTGAGTCGTGTGGCCAATAGGGTGAGTCATGTGGCCAAAAGGTAAGTCATGTTACCAAACAGGTGTGTTATGTGGCCAGCAGAGTGAGTTATGTGGCCAATGGGGTGAGTCATGTGGCCAAAAGGTAAGTCATGTTACCAAACGGGTGTGTCATGTGGCCAACAGAGTGAGCCGTGTGGCCACTAGGGTGAGTCATGTGGCCAAAAGGTAAGTCATGTTACCAAACGGTTTGTCATGTGACCAGCAGAGTGAGTCGTGTGGCCAATAGGGTGAGTCATGTGGCCAAAAGGTAAGTCATGTTACCAAACGGTGTGTCATGTGACCAGCAGAGTGAGTCGTGTGGCCAATAGGGTGAGTCATGTGGCCAAAAGGTATGTCATTTGGCCAGCAGAGTGAGGCTGATAGGTTGAGTAATGTGGCTAACAGGCTGGGCCATGTGGCCAATAGCTTGGATCATGAGGCTAGCAGAGTGAGTCATGTGGCCTATAAGGGTGAGTCATGTGGCCATTTTGATTGGTCACTTAGTCAACTGTTCACTGTGTAAATGACTAAGGTGGCAAAAACTGGTTAATTTAAACGAGATGCGGCTAATCGATTGAAAGATATTGTGTTCATTAACTGCCATGTAGCTTAAAACTTTGTTTCCATCAACAGAGTATTGGTAAAACCAGCTTGAAGGAGAGAGAGGCTTACGCCAGGGCTGGGGTTGTGGCTGAACAAGCTTTCTCCAACATAAGGACAGTCGTGGCTTTTGGTGGGGAGGAAATGGAGGCAAAGAGGTAAGTCATCGTATATATATATATATATATATATATATATATATATATATATATATATATATATATATATATATATATATACATCTAGTTTTATTTGAATTTGAGTCATTGGGCAACTAAATCTTGTATTTATTTCTACGTAAGATATCACGAAAACTTAATACACGCCCACAAATACGGAGTGCAAAAAGGGATTATAAACGGCATAGGACATGGAATACTTTGGTGCGGATTTTACTTAAGCTATGCGCTGGGCTTCTACTACGGCGGTCAGCTGATCAGAAGTGGCGAGTACACAGTGACTTCCACAGTTGTGGTGAGTAGTCCGTTGCTTGAAGTTTTTGAATTTCCAACTTTCAAAGACTTCGATGGGAAACATTATTTTAAAGTGTAGAAGAAGGTCAGTTTTGAAAACGGGATGCGGCACGTTTCACTCCTCTCTTTGACTTCAACAAATTATTGCGAGAACTTTACAACAAATTCATACCACATGACAGAAAGGGCTCATCCCAAGTACACAACAATCATTCGATGTGACTTTCTATAAACGTTTAGAAAATATTAAAACATACTTCATTTAAAACAATATAGTAGAAAATAGTAAAACATTAGATGTAAAAAAATATCATTTAGAAAATAGTAAAACTTCTTGAGGTAAAACTATATCGTAAAAAATAATAAAACCTATTTTGTGTAAAACAATATCGTTTAGAAAATAGTAAAACATATTTGATGTAAAATAATTAAGCTTCGTGAATGTTCCAGGTGTTTTGCTCCACCGTCATCAGTGGTCTGTATTTAGGTTATGCTATTCCTGCAACAAACGGTATCTACGTTGCAATGGCTGCGGCAGTCAAGGTTTATCAAGTTATTGATAAGGTGAGGTCGATTTCATGTTAGTTTGTTATCGAATAAAAATGCGATTCAGACATATATTTCTAAAAAATATTTTGATACAAATATAAGACATTTACTTTACTTGTTTTAAACACATACTATTCAGTGTTTTTTGTTTAATTTAATTTTTTATCTTAATTTTATCTCTCCATCGTTTATATTTCATAGTAAATTAAAAAAAAAACATATTTACTTACAAATTAAAAAAAAATCTTTTAAAATTTACTTTTTTTACACGAATAAGCAATACTTTGATATGCTTTGCAGAAATCGTTGTGTGACAGCAGCTCTGCAGAAGGTGAAATGCCGGCGCAAGTAAATGGTGAAATTCTGTTCCAAAATATTTGTTTCTCTTACCCATCAAGACCTGGGTTACAGGTACTCGGACATTTTTCATATATTCACATCTTAAAAACTAAGCTGAATCCGTATGATTTTGTATTTTAAAATATATTTTACTGTGTTATGAAATATTTTCATAAAATTTAACAAATTTCAAACAATAAAACTGTTAATAACTTAAAAACAATGTGGGTTATCATATCTGTTTAACATATTAATGAAGCTATTAACTTAATACGAGCTGAATACCCATGAACTTTTCAATGTACTTTTGAAGGATAGAAAAGATTGGCACTTAACATAAATCAACAATTCTTTGCAATTTCTAGTGAAATAAATATTAATTTTACAAAATGTGATATTAAAATGAATTTATAGAAAGGGATAAAAGAAGCGGAAATTTTTAATAGGCGCAACCAAAACCCTTACTGGAAGACACCATGAACCACAAACAAAATCCCATAACACCCGTTTCACACCCAACATCACCTCTGTTACAAATACCACATATCTCCACTACCTCAAATGGCATAAACCAAAGCTCACCCCAGCAACATCAGCATCCACACCCAATCACTAATCCCACACCATTCTCATGTTTCACTTAACAGAGCATCATAAAACGCAGTGGGTGAAAAAACACACCACCTCGCTTTACGCCTTAAAGCACACAAACTCAACCAAACACAACCCCCCCCCCCCCCAAAAAAAAAACCCGAATCCACAGGTCACCTCACGCTCCGAACGTAACCAACAACATAACCACAACACCACACCCCACCCCGCAAAAAAAAACACTACAGCCTACAATATACATTAAAACCCTAAAAATATAATTAGATAATTCTACTCACTCAGCTATTTTAAATACTTATCAGCTTAGTTCTACCATTCTAATCCAGAACTTCATTTGCAATTATGAGGTTAATACGTTTCCATAATATACATGAATATCATATATTATTTATGTTCTTTTTTCAAATAAGCTAACACATAGAACCTTGGGCGATATACTTATTTAACGAGATCTCTACTAAAAACTGTATAAATAGGCTAAAATCTACTTTGCTCTAAGGTTAATAATGGGCAATAACTAATTGAGACAAAGTGCGTAGACAAAGTGCACTTAAGTCACTTATAAAGGCGTCACTTTCCTGGTAAAAAAAAAATTCCGACAGGAAAACTATTTGCAAAACTTGTAAAAATATCAAATAAAAACATTTTATATTTTCATTACTGGAAACTCTGTAGGTGTTGTGTGGTATTGACCTTCATGCCCTTAAAGGTCAAACTGTTGCCTTGGTTGGTGCTAGCGGCTCAGGGAAGTCTACAGTTATACAACTCTTATTGCGGTTTTACAAACCGAATATTGGTCAGGTAAGTAAATTGGGAAAATACCAAAACACTGGACAGTTAGACACTCAATAACATAGGACTAAAGAATACATGAAGCACCCAATACATTTAGGCATGTTGAAATAGAATTTAAAAAAAAAATAATTTATACAACAGATATTAATTGACGGCCATGACATTGAGAGCTTAAACCTCCGATGGTTACGTCAGCACATTGGTCTAGTCAGCCAAGAACCGGTACTCTTTGCTACGACAATCGCCGAAAATATCCGGTACGGTCTGAAGGATGCAAGCATGGAAGACATCATTCAAGCAAGCAAAATGGCCAACGCCTATGACTTTATTATGAAGCTACCTAATGTAAGATAACCACCGTATAGTCTGTATATTGCAATCTGCGTTAAATCAATTAACAAATGTTTAAAATCTGAAATATTTTTTAGCAATTCGAGACGTATGTAGGCGAACATGGCGCCCAACTAAGTGGAGGACAGAAACAGAGAATCGCCATCGCCCGAGCTCTGGTCAAGGACCCAAAAATTCTTTTGCTGGACGAGGCGACCTCAGCACTGGACACTGAGAGTGAGGCCATCGTACAAGATGCTCTAGATAAGGTATTGTAATGTTGCGCACAATCTGCTTACAACAAAATTTAGTTAAACTTGTGTACAATAAGCTTAGGGGAAGATAAGTTAACAAAACAGCTGATTAACAACTCGCGGAAAGAAGATACATTGCTTTCATCATTGTTTTCTGTAAATTTATAAAATAGTAATTTTACTTTGGTAGTCAAGTATGATTCATGCGATTGTCTGCGCTGACCAAATAATTTCTCAGGGTCAGTAAAGGCCGAACAACGATTATCGTCGCTCATCGACTTTCGACCATTCGTAACGCTGACAAGATAGTGACGCTGTCCAAAGGTCGAGTGGTGGAGGTGGGCACCCACACGGAGCTGATGGACAAACGGGGAGTTTACTACAACCTCGTTTCTTCACAGGTCAGATCTTCGTTATACGGAGGGTATTTTATTAGAGATTATATCAACCTCGTTTCTTCATAGGTCAAACTTAATTGTATGCTTAATTTTTCCAGTGCTTGCTGATACAGATATTTAAATCTTAATTAATGACTTAATTACGTTTGTTTAAAAATAATTTTAATACTGAAAATTTGTATTTGTTGAACACAGCGACGAGGGGGGTAGAAAATAATAGGCATAAACAAGTACAATACAATAACTTCGTCAGCAGACTTCACTATTTTTAGTGATTAAGAATAACAACATATTGTTTATAGACTAAGAATTAGTATAACGCAATTTTAGACAAAGTTCGTTACATGTCTAATAAAGCTACCATAGATTAAACTTGGGGGACTAGAATTTTTTAAAGTGGCACATCTTCAGTTTTCGCTGTGAGAATAATATCTTAAAATGTATTATATTTTTTCGCTTGTTTATTTATAGTAAGACTTATTTTATCTTTGCTGCTGATCAGATGCAACAAAGTGAGTATCTTCCTTAATGTATAGCATTAACTTTTTTATGTATATCGTAAATTTTTTTTATTAGATTGTATACTTTTTTCATAATATTATTGTTTATTAGTTATACGGTGATTTAATGATCAGAGGACTAGTTCAGACTGAAGTTAAATTACACTTACTTTAATTTCTTGTTTACCATTTATTGTTGTTAAAGTTGTGTAGCCAGAAGGGTTGGATGTTTGACATTTACTATTGTCTTTTCTGAACCATAAATAAACAGTTGTGATTGTGTCTGAAAATAATGCGATCCATAAAATGTTCTTTTTCAAACATTTTAATACACTATTTTATCTTCTTTTAGTGTTATATAATAGGTGTAGTGGTTGTCTATCGAAAGCTTATACAAAGCTATTTGAGGTGGGGTTGGGCCAAATATATCATATCTTAGGTTAAATGTGCACCAAATCCTACACTCAACATTGTCATAAATCCTTTTTCACTGCATGTTATTATTGCATCTCTATTTAAATCAAAAGATTAATTTAAAACTAAACTATATGTTTTGTCAACTGAGATATTTTTAAGTTAAGAAGAGTAAAGTAAATTTTAATCTGCCTTAAGTGAAACAGAATGATGAATCAATGAAGTGTGACCACCCAGATAATCAACCAGCTCAACTGATCGACGACCAGCTGTCCGTTAAACTCACTCACATTTCACCCGATCAAAAAGTAGGTATATCTACGTCTTTCTGTGGTCGTACCCAATAATATAAAAAAGATAATATTTATTAATTTTATTAATTTAATTGAATTAGCATCAATAAAATCTTATTAGTAATAAATGATAAGAAATTCATTAAAAAAACCATTTTATAGGGCAAAGAAAACATTCAAGGAAGTAAACCCATGTCAACTAGACACATGTTCTCACGCTTGATCAAACTTAACTCCCCTGAATGGATTTTCATCCTCTTTGGAACACTGGCCAGTATCATCAGTGGGGCTGTGATGCCACTTTGGTCAAACCTGTTAGCCCAGTTCTCTAAGGTTGTTACCATGTTATGTGCCTGCCTTTTAATAGCTTGTTAAAACTATTGCTACAGTTGCTGTCGTTTACGTTAAAGCTAAGTAAAGTATGGTTTAACCAGTGACACATTTTGGAAAAAGTACCGATTTTACTTTCGGATTATTCCATTAACATTTACATATTGTTACTCGATTGTTTCATCTACTTCATCTACAAGATGTGATAAAATAATTTGGTTACATATACCATTTATTTGATGCTCAAACTGTTCGTTGCTCTTCAAACTAGGTTTGCTGAACGAGCTTGACAACGCTTATTATGTTGAACTTGTTTAATCAACCTTTTACTTTGAATTTTATTGTTTCATAAATTTTGACACGCACAATTTTAAAAAAAAACAACTTTTTACCTTATTCAGATCTTGTCTTATCCCGACAAACAAGAGCAAGAGAATTCTCTCAACACCTTATGTCTTCTAGTTGTCGGGTTGGGGATCATGAACTTCATGGGGAAAGTTTTACAAGTAAGACAAATTAATTTTTTTTAAAATCTTTAACATTGAGAATTATTTACAGAAACGACAATATAAGTCTTTAAAATTTTGAACTTCATCGGAATTATTTTAATGAAGAGCAACTTGTAAAAAAATCCTGCAATTCACCGAGAAAGCTTTGCGTGTAAAACCAATTATTTGTTTTAAATCTGCAGCGCCATCGAGACAATTTTCATAGAAGAATTTTTCTTTTTCAAGTTAGTACCCTAAACAGAGTTCGTCAGTGGACAATAAGTAACACACAAAATATTGTAAAAGACAAATTTCCACATTGAGCTTAATAAGAATAGATAGCAATGAATAAAATTGTTTAAAATATCCACCTAATGGTAACTTAATGAAACTCTGTAGGAAACTGTGCATTGTTTTGGCATTCATTCAATGTTGATAGCTTATTTTGATAGTTGTTTGTTCTTAAATTGAGATAATGAAACATGCGCTAATCATAATTTGGCAGGACTCCATGTTTGCTGTTTCTGGGGAGTCTTTAACGACTCGATTAAGGGACATTTTCTTTCGGTCATCTCTTCGACAGGTAGATTTTGATTTTATTGAGTCAATGTAAACTTGTCCTTTTGGGATGTTTTAGTTATGAATTGATTTAACCTAGAATTATAGTTAATGAGGAAGACATTTGTGTTGGATAAAATCTGTTGATTAGGAATGGAGGAAGAGGTCGGTTAATTATAAGTATATATTTTCGTCTTATCTATTGTTTTTATTCAGTCAGGGGGATTGGGGTTGGGCGGACAGTTTCCGGAAAGAAACATTGATCTAGCTATGTATTTGTATTTTTTTTTAAATACTATGTCAAAAGGTTTAGAGTTGATTGATAGACATATTTCAAAATTAAATATATTCCAAAAAGAAACATTGCTCTAACTATGTAGGCCTATTTGGATTTTTAAAAAATAGTAAGTTTTGAGTTAATTGATAGACATAATTCAAAATTAAATATCGATAAGATATGTTAAATTGTATTTAAAATATATTTAAAAAAAAAGAAAATATGTTGGTTTGATGACCCGAGGAACGCCACTGGAGTGCTGACTACAAGGCTGGCAACACAAGCTTCCAGAGTTCAAGAGGTAATGACATTCCCTACGTAGAACCTGACATGTGAAAAGGGTGGCATTTTACCTCAATATTTAAATAACTTATATTCAATGAGGGTTTTCAAACAAATTTAGGTTAAAAACCCATACCAAAGTTTTACCACCTAACATAATAATGAAAAACACTTAATGTCTGAAATAAAATAAAGTAAAATAATAATTACATTTTAATTACGTACGTGGCAGACTTTCACTTCCGCCATAGGGATGACCATCAACTCAATCTCTGGGATTGTGATTGCCTTGGGGTTCGCCTTCTACTATTCCTGGAAGTTAGCGTTCGTCATCGTGGCATTTGCACCAACCGTTATCTTCAGGTACTTCATCTATGTAAAATGTTTTCATTTTAGTTAGCTTAGTTGTTGCCAGAATAAATTTTCATCATGCATTATCACGGACACAAAAAATCTAGACAAAAATTTATAATAAACGTTAATCATCTAAATTTTATTGTATTCTAATGAATGTAATTATCTAACGAAATGACATTCTCTAAAGTAAATATTATCATCGCTTGTTTTTGTAGTGGTTATATGTATTTCTCTCCTTCTAACATTATTTACAACGATTAAATAGCGGGAGGATACAAATAGTCTTAACCAGTCGTATATCAGACAAGACCAACAAAGCTTTAGAAGAAGCTGTAGCGGTAAGTAAATTAAGGTAGGATAATTTGGCTAGCCGTACTTTCAAACTCAAAATATCGTAAACTCATAATTAAGACGGAAGAAGTATGTCGAACGAAAAGGTCTTCTAAATTTATCATGTATTCAATATTATAAAGGCAAATATAATTTTAATTGTCTTGGACAAGTTGCTTTATCGAACTGCCCATTTCTCTAGCACGCCATCCAAACCATCTCGAACATTCGGACTGTAGCAGCCCTGACATTGGAGCAGAAATTCTACCAGATGTTCGCCACCAGACTGGAAAAGGCGCCACACACGTTTAGTGGTGACATCATTTGTAGTGGGATCATGTACGGGTTCTTCATGATGATGCCATACTTTTCCTTCTGTGTGATGTTTGAGTGTGGGTACCTTCTAGTCCAGACAGGGGAGTTGCCATTTTATGATATGATACGGTAAGATTTTATCTTTTTGTGTAACAGTAAATAGTGAGCACAAATGTCATAAATGGTATCGCAAACATCACTTCTGAAATTTTCCGGTCGTAGCGCTTTTATTTCTTTCTCAACATTTATGTTGTTTATTATGGTCAGCAAATAAAAAAAATGACCAATTTATCTTAGGCATAAAAGTACAAAGTCTATTATTTATTCAGATTCTATTTGCTATGTTGCTATGTTTTTCAAAGGAATATGACTTTTTTTTTGTCTTGCAGAGTTTTCTCGTTTGTGACGGTGTCTGTGTTCGCCCTGACAAGGATCATGGTACAGATACCAGACACCACACTCGCCAGACTGGCGGCCCAGACCATCTTCACCTCGGTGGACAGCGCTCCTAGCGTGGCGGACAGTCAAGGGGGATCTGTGAAACTTGATGAGGTTTGTTTTCTGTTGTGATGATATTTCCTTATTTTTGTGTTGTGTTTTTTAAATAAGTGCCAAGCATTGACTAAAAAACCAGACCTCCGGAGAAGAATCCAGGTCCTGGAAATGAGATGTCTATGTAGGCTCATTGTGATCTCATACAGAGATCGAATAAATAATGAAGGCAGTAAAATGATACCGATTATGATTCGTCCAACTGATAATCTACTGAGAATAGTCAAAGCAATAAAACAATTGCGATTGTATTCGCATGTCACATGTATTAACGGCCTTTCCGAAACAATATCCCAAGCACTGTGAAAGGAAGGGAAGGTAAAGGCGTCCATAGCTTCTACCAGGCATCTCCACGAACAAAATGGAAATTAAATAGAAAATATATACTTTATACGATGTCCGCCCCCCCCCCCCCTCCCCCGAAAATATAAAGTGCCCCCCACCCCACCGAAGAAAAAAGTCTGGAAGAAACACTGAAAGCGTCACTGGATGTTTGGCGTTAAATTGGAATTAGCTGCCCATTTTAAAACTACAGAGAGCAGCAAAGCAGCAGCGATCCCGACTAGGGTTTAATGATGATTATTGCCTGACTGAGGAAATATGAAAGCTGTGTGTATTTAATTCATCTTTAGTGATATCTTGCATACTATGTTTGTTTCTGTTTAACCTTTTAATGCACTGAATGATTAGTACTACAATATTTTACTATAAATAAATAATACATTGTTACTTTATCCCTTTTTCAAAGTTGTCAATACAAGAATATTTTATTTCGATAGGGTGCCTTCAAAAGCACACTTCAGTTTAATGGAATTCGCTTCCGGTATCCCATGCGAAAAGAAGTTCAGGTATTAAATGGCCTTGACCTAGAAGTTCGCCCCGGACAAACGCTGGCGTTGGTGGGTGGAAGCGGATGTGGGAAAAGCACAATAGTGCAACTAATAGAGAGATTTTATGACGCCCAGGAGGGCAGCATTGTAAGTAGCGTCAGTGTATTTTGTTGCAAGTCGCATCAGTGTAAGTAGCGATATTGGTCAGTTTAGTTATTAGCCTTATTGTTAATATTTTATATTTTAGAGTAGTTAAACATTGTTTTGATAGCATAAAAACCGAATATATTTTTATAGAAAAACTCAAAAGTTAAATCGATGCTTTAGAATATTAAGATAAAGAAAGGTTAAAAGACTAAACGAAATTTCAGCTTTTGGATAATCACAACATCCTTGACCTTAACGTTCAATGGCTGCGTATGCAAATCGGCCTGGTGTCACAAGAACCAGTCCTGTTCGACAGAAGTCTGGCTGAGAACATCGCTTACGGGGACAACACGAGGGAGGTGGGCATGGAGGAGATCATAGAGGCAGCTCGGACAGCTAACATACACACGTTTATACAGTCTCTGCCCTCGGTGAGTTTATACAGTCTCTTTCCTCGGTGAGTTGATACAGTCTCTGTCCTCGGTGGGTTTATACAGTCTCTGCTCTCGGTGAGTTTATACAGTCTCTGCCTTCGGTGAGTTTATACAGTCTCTGTCCTCGGTGAGTTTATACAGTCTCTGCCCTCGGTGAGTTTATACAGTCTCTGCCCTCGGTGGGTTTATACAGTCTCTGCCTTCGGTGAGTTTAAACAGTCTCTGCCCTCGGTGAGTTTATACAGTCTCTGTCCTCGGTGAGTTTATACAGTCTCTGCCCTCGGTGAGTTTATACAGTCTCTGCCCTCGGTGAGTTTATACAGTCTCTGTCCTCGGTGAGTTTATACAGTCTCTGCCCTCGGTGAGTTTATACAGTCTCTGTCCTCGGTGAGCTTATACAGTCTCTGCCCTCGATGAGTTTCCTTAGTCTCCGCACTTGTTGAATCTATACATTCTCTGTCCTCTATGCCCTCGGAAAATATGGTATCTCTGCCCTCCGTGAGTTAGTTACCACTTATTAATGGTTTACACATCTGTACAACAAATTAAGTTTTAGACTGTCTGTAGTGTAGGTGTTTTTGGTCTTACTTCCCTTTCTATAAGAATATACAACCTCAACTTAAATTCTAGCTGGGATAACACTCTAGTTATATCTGGCTGAGCTAGAAATGTATTAGAGGCTTTGATGTTCACAGGCGTTCCCCCAAGCATTAACACAAACAAGATACAGTTATTTTGTTAGACGACGTGGTCGGAAAGTAGAGCATATGACAGTTAACCCAAGAGCCTCAAAGTTAAATACGAGTTCATGTCCGTAGAAGAACGTCCCTGAGTCCACCCAGCTCATATCTCTATTTGACTCATGTTGAGAAAAGCAAAAGCGGATGAGCATAGCACTGACCACATTATCTATTCATATGCCGAATGTACTTTTTATTTAAAAACCAACGATACATTTATCAAACTAAACAATTATAAGAGAAATTCTAACATCCTCCAATTTCATCGTTAGGATACGTGGCCTTGTGGACACAACATGTGGTATTGAAATTTGTACCTAACAAAAGTAAAACTAAATGTTAGCGATTGTAAACTGAACATTCGTGCAAGTTGTTTGTTAAAGTTAAAATGTCAACTCTAGGGCTACGAAACAAATGTGGGGAATAAAGGAACACAACTAAGTGGAGGACAAAAACAAAGGGTAGCAATCGCGAGAACTTTGCTGAGAAATCCAAAGATTCTTCTACTAGACGAGGCCACGTCAGCTTTGGATACTGAGAGTGAGAAAGTGAGTACTTGCTTTAATAAAAAAAATCTCAAGTCAACATGCTATGCACGTGTGTGTTTGTTTTGAAATATCCTTACACCATTAGCAGTTGGAAATGAACACATTCAAATGACTCAATTCTACCAAATGCTAATTAATTAACTGACTTTTTAATTAAAAAATAATATATAATAACACCAGGGATAGAAAATTGAACATCGAAAATGACTAAATCAAATTACCCCTATCACCAGGTGGTGCTGGAAGCGTTGGACAAGGCCAGAGAAGGTCGCACGTGCATCACCATAGCTCACAGGTTGAGTACCATCAGAAACGCAGATCGCATCGCAGTGTTAAAGAAAGGCGTGATCCAGGAGTTGGGCACACACGAGCAGTTGATGGCGAGTCGTGGGGCGCTGTATCGTATGATGAAAGCCCAGACCAACAGATCATGTAATGACAAGGTTTAGAACTTGGACCGGATAAACTAAAAAATAGTTCGGATCAATATAATTAAAAAGAAATTCAACTCATGCCTAATGCTTCTATTAAAGAAAACAACAATGTGAATGCAGATTGTATGGACATCAGTAAGAGCATTATTGTTGGAATACACGGCCTTTTGTGTGAAAAAGCCATTTGGTAAAGCGTTTGTGTTTGCGTTTGAGTTTGTGTTTGCGTTTATGTTTTCTTTTGTGTTAGCATTTTTGTTTGCACTTATGTTTGTGTTTCCGTGTGCGTTTTCAGTTGTGTTTGTTCTTTTTTGCCTTTTGGGTTTTCGTTTTCGTTTGCATACGTGTACGTGTACGTGCACGTGTACGTGTACGTGTACGTGTATGTGCAAAATGTGTATGTGTAGTTTTTTGTGTTTGTGTTTGCGTTGATTGTGTTTTTGTGTTGCATTTGTGTTTTCTTTTGTGTTAGTGCTTGGCTTTGTTCTTTTTCCAAGTTGGTACATTTAAGAAAGATTCACCGTGGCTGAGCACGGGTATGCAGCTAGTAAGGGTATATGAGTATTTGTATTTGGTGTTTTGTCGGTGTTATCTGCGACAGAAATGTCTTAAGATTTTTTTTTCGCCTCAAGTCTTTCAGAAGTCGGCCTGGTCAGTCTACTTAGTGTATTGTTAACTTTGTGTCAGTGTCTATGCTTGTTCTGGGTAGGCATCTTGTTCTATCGCATACGTTGTGATGTGACAAGTGTTGTAATTTATAACAAATAGTTAAGTAGAGTTGGCAAAATAAATCATGTTAATGACCTTTTATTCACTGTGAGCAATAATGTAAGATTAGTATTTAAAAAAAAACACACACACACACATGTCTAATAATTATTAACTGAAACAGTTGGATTTTCGTATACATCTTGAATAAAACTTAATTTAAAACAGTACATCCTATAGTGTACATGGTTAGTAGCAATCTAATTTTTTAAATTGTTTATCGATTGTATAATGATTTTATTGTATAGTGGAAAAGATTATATTAAAGATCGGTTAGCCTTTTATTTCATTTTGATTAAGAACGTTTTTAATTATATAAAAAAAACCTCTTTTAAATTAGTACTTTAAAAAAATTAATACATTTCAATTTATTTGGTATCTCTATTCAGACGATATCGTGTTGGAGCTTTGTTCTACTTGTGACTTATTACCTGTGACTATTTTCTGAGACTTTATTTTCTGTGACTTTTATTTATGAGTTGTGTGATCAAGCCCTGTAAATGTTGCTATATATAATAAAAGTTAAAAAACGGATTTTTGACAATTTGGTTTTTTCCTTAATGTAAAAAAGGCTTCCAAATAATTAGCCTGAATGTTTGCTTAAGCTAGTAAACTTTCAATACGTTACAATGAAATAATAGATTTTGTCTTAACGAATTTTAAAATTATATATTAGAAAGAGTTGAAGCTAAAATGATCAACTTTGAGATTTAGTAACACAATGGACATGCTTTCAGGAGCGTTAGGATTTAAAACCAAGAGGTTTTAAACGGCTACTCAATCGCGCAATAAAACATCTGTGGGTGAGATGGGATGGGAGTGGTTTAATGAAATCATTACACTTAAAGTTTTAGCATGAAGCGAAGGAGAGAATATCTTGCCACACGATCTTTATCTTAATATTTATTTTCTATTATGTTAGGATAAGCCCAACCTGCTCTGAGGGGAGTACATGACCCACGATAGGGGAACTTAGCATATTGCTGATTAAATTAGCCTGTCGCTTGACCTCCTTTTTTTTACCGTCGACATGGTAATAATGGCTGCCGAAAACGACGATACCGTGATTCCGTTAATTTAACAATGTTTCATGGTCATTTCAGAAATATATACTTAAAATCGTTATTTTTGCGTATTATTCAAAAATACCGGTCTAGTTTCAACAAAGGACGCTAGTTTGATGCAAACTTGCCTTTTGTACATTTTTTGGTCTAATCGCTGAGAATATCGAGTAGAATATAATAAAAGTAAGCAAAACGTGAATTGCTTTATTTAATATTGTTCTAAACATACTGAAAAGATATTCTAAACTATAAGAAATTATTTGTTGCTTTTAACTAAACTAATGTCATTGATAATTTAAAAATCATATTACAAATAACTTGATCGAGACAACAGCGAACTAAGCACGCCCATTTCATCTGAACGGCCGTGAAAGGTCAGTCGCATCACAACAACACTCTTTAAAAAACGAACCCGCCATATCACTAAAAATCGGTCATATCATCGTAGCCATTTAAAAACAAACAGGTTTTTTTTTCAGAAATAATTTTTTTAGGCTACGGGTATCAAGGACAAATAAATTTAGTTTTTAATTGTTTAATTAATCTTGAACAATAATGAAGTTTAAATCTTAGGCGACACCCCAATTAAATTATCCCCCTGGTCAGTGAAACATACGAACTCTATTTAATATGCCACACGCGTCTTTGGCACGAACGGGGAAAGATGATGATCATGATCAATATTTTTAGAGTTATTCTGACATCTCTCTACATACTACACTTGGATACAACTTCACACGTTAATTTAACAACAATCGTTTCTGTGTGTAGTAAAGTTATATTTCAAAGTAAACGCTATTAACATTTGTGAAATTTTCTGATGCCCAATGTTATAACACCCTTGAATAGTCCTTTTGGCTTAATTAACATTTGTATTATTATACGTCAAACAATCGACCCTTTGAACCATGCATGAAAGTACAGCTGTCATTTTAATTGGCTTTAGAGACACGTGGCGTCATATCAAAGTAAAGGGTTATAGAGCTAAACTCTAGGCCAGCGGGTTCCAAACTTAGAAGCATCTCCCTAGGGAGGGGGATGCTAGTGCTAGGGGAAGAGAAACTGTTTAGATATGTTTACATTATTATAAATAAAACAGATAACTCCTCTTCAAATCTGCTTTAAAGTGTTTGCAATGTATTTGGTATTTTGTTCCAAAGTCGAAGGCAATTAATTCCATCCTAGGCTTTAAGATCAATATTGAAATAAATAAATAATGCTTAAGTTTTCGAAATTAACAAAACTATATTAATCAGAGAAATACATACATTTTGTGGGACAGGACACGGGAGAATCACGAGCATAATTGTATTTTGCGTGACGCAAAATTATTTTGTTTTTTTTTCAATGGAGGTACAGTGACAACAAGTTTGGGAACCTCTGGTCTAAATATAGACGCAGCTTTTTAATTTTCCAGAATTATACTTCACAATTAATAAAACATAATTATCTCTTTAATATACAGCTAACGCGATACTTTATGACAGATGTCGTCGTTAGGATAAGGCCTGACAAAACTTTAATGGGAGCCACAATTACACGACTCAACGTTCAATCAATAAGCTAGCTCATCAGCCAGGCTTGGTGTTTTACACACTATTAGAGCTCAGTAGATTTATGAAACACATGTTACCGACACATAAAATATAGCCATTACTTATTGTTCCGTATTAATTAATCGCGTCTTTTGATCCTTTATGAAAAGTCGTTAAAAATAAATTACAGTTTGTGTCTTCTGTTTAAAATTAGAAATGTTTTATTTTACATTTAATGAAAAAGGATTTTTACATAATTTATAACATTTATTTTTAAAATTCATTTTCTTTAACTCTGTGAATCGTCTTTCATTTTCTTGAATTAAGGCCATTATATTTTAAACGAAACTGTACGTATTTTTTTATATTTTCAAACGTATGTGTTAATCCCTTGGCTTATGTTAGTTGTTTTAACCATATCAACCGAAACCTGAGGCGGACTAAACACTAATGTTAAAAAAAAATATTAAAGTATTTTTTTTTCTGGGTTGTGCGATGACTACTTATTCTTAGCCTCAAGTTAGGGGTCGTACATAAATTACGACACACTCAAAGGGGGATAGGGGTCCGTAATTTTGTGACGGTCTGTGATGAGGGGGATGGGTTAAGATTTTGTGGCGTCCCACTTTTGCACAATAATACCTTTACTAATATTTAGGAAGAGACCCACGCTTTTCTTTATAGTTATTAAAATAGTAGTGTAACATTTATTAACTACTTTTTAGTGCATTATTACATAAAAGCATGTTATTAAAACGTTGTTTTTAAATTATTTCATTACTTTAATTTTTAAAATTTACAATAGAGTTGCATGACTAAAAACCATTGCGCACCTAACTAACATGACGTAGCGCGTATAATATTGCGGAATAGTTGGATAAGACTTCCTGCTTATTTGGACACAATTTTAATTAATTTATAAAAAATTAAGTAGGCATCAAATTAAGTCAAATTTAATTGTCAGATTTCATTGTCTCCATGTCTTGACCCACGTGCCAACTTTGAACCGGATCTGTCAGAAGTGCCCGAAATTTTGCCCGGGCGTTTCGATCGAGACAGAAAGACAGACTGTCGACAGACAGAGGACGCAAGTTAATTAAAGTTAAATAAAAACTTGTAAAAATATCGATGTTTTAAGAAAAATTCATCTGCAATTTTGAGGTGAAGGGGTTGTAGGCTGAGGTGTGACGCAATTTTAGGGTGGGTTGGGGGGGTGTCTGAGAATTGTAGGAGGTAACAGTTTCCAAAAAAAGCGTGACGTCATTTATGGATGACCCCTTATGTTACATTCATAGCTCACAGATGATCTAAATATTTGAGTGCCCGAAAAGCTGGGTTTTTAAAAAGAATAACATGCTAATCGTCATTCAGATGTATTATATTTATTTGTAGGTTACATATTTTGTGTTAGTTGTAACACATAAGCATACGATGTTAATCAACTAAAAACGTGAAAGTCCACAAAGAAGGAACCATACTACATCCCACTTGGTTTTACAAGTGTTTACATATCCGAATCCTTTCACCTCTATTCTGTATGTGTAGATTGTAAAAGGTTGAGCCTAACCGATATAAAATTATAAAATATGTGTTAATGATCTACAGAACAGGAAACAAAAAGGTTTTACGTTGTAGAAACACTAGCAGATCGAAACATTTTGATTGTCTCCTTAATGCACATAGATTACTAATTACAGTCCCCCGATACTGTGCGCGGATAAGCAAAAAGCATCTTGGCGTTCACCTTGAATTGATTATCATAAACGTGGCTAAACTTAACACTTAAGGTTATTGTTGATTGAAAAAAAGTATTGAATACATTTTTCAGAACTACACAGCGGTGATATTAGTATTGATGGCAAAAGGTTATAAAATTAATATCTAAATATTGATCATTACGTACTACACAGGGTGCACGCGACATTTGACAGTTTAAATGCCTACTGTGAATAACGCATATAGTTGCCGGTGACAGCTGAGTAGAAGCCCTTGGTGGTCTAATCTAATTCACTGTGTGTTATACCTAGTCGTTGTTCTCAGTTCTTATCACTCATTTTAGTCGTTTTTAATTTATTTAATTCAGTTGGATCTTTCATCATAATCAAGTAAGTTATTTTTAAGACTCGATGACAATGCACCGTGGGCATACAATGTGACTTAGCTAGATGTTTAATTAACTTTAAAAAAAATTGATAACATTTTCTTTTATAATATACTAGCTTTACGCTCACTTATGCACACATTGTTTACGGTTATTTGGTTTGCTATTCGTTTTTCCGATCGATTCTGTTTCATTAAAAAATATTTAAAAAATAGCAAAAAACATTGCTAAAGCCCGATTGCACTTAAAGTACCAACCCCGTTTCTGTTACATAGGAATTTAAGAGAAAATTTAGGGGAGATCACTCCCGTTTTATTTATTCATGTTGTTGACCCGTGCTTTTCTTCATATAAGTGACCCTTATCGCAAATGGAAAAGATCCTGAGAAGAGAAGACTCGTGGAGAATGAAAAAAGTAAACCAAAAAGGGGAAATAAAGAAGTTCGATACTGGGCCTTGGTAAGGAGCATTTTAATTTGATTTGATTGTAAATATTTGTCGATGCTTAAACATTTTACGGTACTGTTAGACAGTGGGTAACTCTCTTCCTCCATACCCAAGCTATCTATTCTGAGGTTTCCTTAACACAACCTACATTATATTTGTATTCCTTTATCTAAAGTTTAGATGCGCTGATACTCGAGACATAGTCATGATGTTGACTGGAGTTATACTTTCTGTTGTTAACGGCGTTGTTGGCACGACCAACCTCATAGTGTTCTCGTCCTTCATCGGCTCATACATAGACAAGACCTCCGCTCAGAATCTATTTTCTGACGTTCAGGAATATTTTGGTGGGAGAAACGTGTCGCTTGCCGATGTGTGGAATAATCCACAGATACTTAGGTGAGATTTTATTGCTCACCAAAGAACTTTATAAAGTGTGAATTTTGGCTGTATCTATGAATATGGCTTTGGAAAAATCCTACTGATTATATATACTTGCAGCGCTATCGTAATAAATAAGCTACAATTTTGTTATTTGCAAGCAAATAGTTATCATTACATGTTAAAAAAAAATTTAAAAAAATGAACGGGTCTCTTTATGTGAATAAACCGGCTTTAGTATAAATAATGCGTCTGTTTGTATGAACAATGCAATAAGACATATCCACATGTCTTTAAAATTTAGGTAAACATTTCAAAGTAGTTTAAAATATCCGAGGTGAATAGTAAATAATAACGAGAAATATATTTAGAAGTAATGAAAATATATTCATATAAAATGATAGTCTCCACCCAAGTGTTTCACTGAAAACATTAAATTTCTCTAGGCCCTACTGTGAAGACCTGGTCACCTACACCAACGGAAGTCTGGATTGTGAAGATCTTGTTACGAACTTAGATAATTCAGATGAAGTACTCGACGCCATATTCAAAAGTTTGGGTGAGGTTATAAATATATTATGTTACTCTATCGTCATAGCACATACAAAGCTTATGAATCTATGAAAATCGAAAGTTTTTGTTAAATAAAATGCAAACCAGATATTGTGACATATCATTTGCCTTTTCCACAACAGTAAATGCCATATTTCGGTGAAACATTTGCTAGTGACAACATGTGGACAATGTTTGACATCTATCTTTAAGAAAAAGTTTACCTATATTTGACTAGAGTTATTGAAATGTCATAAAGAGATTTTTGACCAGATACAATAATAACATAAGGTGTTGGACAAGAGACGATATTGAAAAGATAAGTTTGACAAGAACTAATATTGACCAGAAGTTTGGGACAAAATGTATTTGACAAGAGATATAATTAAAAAGGTATTTTTGACAAGAGATATAATTAAAAAGGTATTTTTGACAAGAGATATAATTAAAAAGGTATTTTTGACAAGAGATATAATTTGAAAGGTATTTTTGACAAGAGCTATAATTAGAAAGGTATTTTTGACAAGAGATATGATTAAAAAGGTATTTTTGACAAGAGATATAATTAAAAAGGTATTTTTGACAAGAGATATAATTAAAAAGGTATTTTTGACAAGAGATATAATTAGAAAGGTATTTTTGACAAGAGATATAATTAAAAAGGTATTTTTGACAAGAGATATAATTAAAAAGGTATTTTTGACAAGAGATATAATTAAAAAGGTATTTTTGACAAGAGATATAATTAAAAAGGTATTTTTGACAAGGGATATAATGCCAATGTATTTTTGACAAGAGATATAACAAAAAAGGTATTTTTGACAAGAAATATAATAAAAAGGAATTTTGACAAGAGAAATAATAAAAATGTATTTTTGAGAAGAGATATAATACAAAGGTATTTTTGACAAGAGATATAACAAAGAAGGTATTTTTGACAAGAGATATAACAAAAAAGGTATTTTGACAAGAGATAGCATTGACAAGAGATATGAGATAAGCGATATGTTAAATGCTGGACACTCTGATCCTACCCCAGGTATCTCCTTGGTCATGCTGGTGGGAGGAACCATAAGACAAACCCTGTTTGGTTGGACAGCCCAGCGCCAGGTGTTGAAGATCCGCCAGCGTCTTTACAGTAAAATCATTTGCCAAGACGTCGCTTGGTTCGACCAAAACAAACCCGGAGACCTGGCCGTCAAGATGACAGAGTCTGTAGTCTTTACCATTTTCTCATGTCGTCATCTATAAATATTAGACTTACTTTCCAGAAGATTTTAGGATACTTGTCAGTGTCACAAGGGCATCAAATTCGACAACGTATCGTGTCCCGTGAATACAATATAAAGAAAAAAGCAATATATATATATATATATATATATATATATATATATATATATATATATATATATATATATATATATAACCTCAAGGCTCAGCAATGCCTAGGGAGATTAAAATTACTGATCAGGCTATACAACAATAGCTAACTCACTTTAAAACGTATTTTTATCTTTTAAGTCGAATTAATTTAAAAAAAACAACAACAGAAATATACTTTAACTTATTGAAGATTTTTATATGACAAAATTTTACTAAACAACAGTACAAATAAGTATTAGTAACATCGATTTTACATTATTTTCACAATGAAAAGTTACTGCTTTACGTTTGAGAGGATGTGTTAAATATTCTCTCTGTTGATGTGTCTTTATAGAAATTCTATTCCTCTTTTTTTAGTGATATTAATCTGATCTATCGGGCCATTGAATCGAACATACCGATGGGCTTACAGTGGACGACTACAGCAGTGTCCAGTATCGTCGTGACCTTCATCTACGGATGGAAGATGACCCTAGTAATTTCGGCGGTCCTTCCTTTTGTGATAACTGGCTCAGCATTGGCAAGCAGGGTAATTTAATAATAATTATTGAGCTACTTTTACATAAATGACACATAAAATAATTTTTAAAATTAGATACAGGGTTCGAAAATTAAAAAAAAATCTAACAAATATAAAAAACCTTTATAGCAACAAGCTTTTAAATGCACTAAAAATAAGAAAATAAAAGTAGTTTGCTTTCTTTTATAAAAGCATTGGTTGCTCACGAGATCTTTTACATATTTTAGTTACCAAACTTTTTATGAAATAAGGCAAAATAGTTTATATTCTTATTTTCAATGCATTTAAAAGCTTGTTGCCATTAAGGTTTTTATATTTGTTTTATTTTCTACTTTTTAGTGATTACTAATTTATGACATCGACACGACCAAAAATATTTGCCTTAAAACACCATCAGTAGCTCGCGATATCTAAAAGACGATTGTCTGACCCACAGCCGAGCGTGACCACATTTTACAGACGACAGCAAGTTCTAAATCGTGTTACCTTCGCTTATATATATATATATATATATATATATATATATATATATATATATATATATATATATATATATATATATAATCGTGTTCACAGACATACAGAGACATATACACAAAATTACAGCTGTAACTTTTTTCCGAATCATTTGGGTGTTAAATTTAGATTTTTGAAAATCTCGACTTCGATTTTTGTTTTTATGATTGCAATACTTTTTCTATACTTCGTATACATGAAAGTAAAAAGCCACAGGCAACAGGACTAGCACTATTCTATTTCAGTTGTGTTTAAATTAATATGTTATGTTATATTTATCAACACTTGTCAGCAAAATTGAGAGTGGGTTTTCACTGGAGTTTCCAATGACCCTTACTGGGATCGTTTCTGTTTGCAAACAGTTCTAGTGTTGAGTCACAGATTTCTGTTTGCAGGGCACAGGACGGAAGAATCTCGAAGAAAGAGAGGCGTATGCTGTAGCAGGGACGGTGGCGGAGCAGACGTTCTCCAACATTAAGACCGTCGTGGCGTTTGGTGGGGAAGAGAAGGAGGCTCAGAGGTAGGTGTTCTAAAATGTGATACATGAGCTTTAAGTATTGGAGCTTCAGAGGCAGGGAATGTTCTAAAACATGAAATATTAGAGCAAAATAAGTAGCACTACATACCCGTGTTCAGTGGCGTAGGCAGGGGGGGGGGTTAGGGGGGTCATAAACCCCCCATAGACCCCTCGGTATATAGAAAAAGTATGAGGGGGGGGGGGGTGCAAATCGAAAGTTTGAGAGGGGGGGGGGTGCAAATCGAAAGTTTGTCCCCGGGTAAAAATTGGAACCCCCCCCCCATTGAGACGATCCTGGCTACGCCACTGCCCGTGTTAATTAAAGCTTGTTAAGAACAGCGAAATAACTACTTATTGTTATTTAAAGAGTTGTTTATGATTATATATTTAAAGAACATCATTTATTTAATCTTTTTTTTTATCGCATTATTACAAAAAAGCTATTAAAACGTTTTTATGTATTTTTTTCAGTCCTTGAAAATTTTTAATACAAAAGTATTTTCATGACTAAAAACTATTGGGCACGACATGAACATGATAATACGCGAATAATAATGCACTCTACTAATTTTAGAATACTTTTTTATTTATTAAAAATAATTGTTCTTTAAATTAAGTCAAATGTGATGTCAGATTGAATGGTTATCAAGTCTTGACCCACGTACCAAGTTTGAAACAAATCGGTAGGTTAGAAATGCTCGAAATTTCGCTGGGCAGTTTTGATCTATGACGACAGAGGAAGCAAGTTCAATAAAAGCTTGTAAAATTTAAGTTTCAAGATAAACTATTACACTGATATATACCTACAATATATTAAAGTTTATTTATTGCAGAAACTTAGAGCTACAAAAATCGTAATCATTGTTATTAATATTTTTTCCCACACAGCTATTTCATTAGTTTAAAGAGCGCTCAGCGATCTGCCGTAGTCAGGGGCTACATGAAAGGGATTGGAATGGGGATTAAGTGGGGCTTCTTCTATATAGGATACGCTTTGGGCTTTTTCTACGGCGGACAGTTGATCAGGAACCAGGAGTATACAGCCACTCAAATGATGACGGTAAGTCATGAACTATAAGTTAGAAAGTTATGGTAAGTCAGAAGTCAGTTATCGTCTTTCACTCAGATTATGACGGCGAGTTACAATAATAATAAGATTAAAGTCACTCAAATGAGTAAATTTGGATTCAGCACAATCTACTCACACAAATAATGAGATTCACCAGAATTAAAGAATTAAGTCACCATTTTTACTCAGATATGTCTAATCACATTTCATACCATTGAGTCATAAGTCTGGCGTATGCAATCAAAGAGGGAACCAGACAGGGAAATGAAGACTATTTCTAAATGACGATATTATCCAACCGCTTGGAAATACAGACCAAAGAGAGCTTTGACATTCTTCATCATATTAAAACAATTTACTTGTCTGCTGTCTTTGCTTCGTCTTCTATTTATGTGCCCCAACCTGTCGTAGGTCTGTCTCGACATCGTTTTCCCTCTGAGCAAAGACTTGCCCTTTACTCTTTCATTGTTTAGATCAGTGGTCTCCAAACGTTTCAGCCAGAGGGCCGCATTAGCTATCAAATATCAGTTCGGGGACCAGAGTTTCTTTAAGGCATCTCTTCAGGGTCGTGGTGCCCCCCCCCTTCCCCGAAGAACGTCTACCATCCCTCCCCCCAACAACGAAATATAATTTATATAGAAATTTACACAAATTTCAAGTGTCCACCCGAGGTCCACGTTTGTTCTCAAATTGTTCTTCACTTATTTCATTCTTGAAAATGTTTGCTCGAAATTTGAAAGGTAATTTGATGCAAAAGTTCTAATGTTAGGAAAGTCTTCCTTGTGCAAAAACGTATAAAAACCCATCCGCCCTTCTTTGAACGTGTCTCTAAGGAAGTCATTTGCTTGAAATTCAATGACCTCCAGCAGCAGTTCATCTTTGCAGCTGGCCACATTCGTTTCAAATAGGCTTTGAAACAGTCTCAATTCTTCTGCCTTTGAATCCAAGTCAGAAAACAGCTACTGAAACTGCAGCTGGAGGTCTTTAATGATCTCGTATGTAAATGACTTGGGGAACTCAGTAGTTGCTTCAGCCGTAAAGACCTTGCACTGCTGAAAGAGTGTCAATTTGTTAGCCTGTACTTGTTCCAAAAACATGACAAGTTTGTATCTAAAGGCCTTTAGGTGGGTGTATAGATTAGAATCTAGATTTCACTCTCTTGCTGTTTTAGGTTCAGAAAATTTAAATGACTAGTTATGTCTACAGCAGAGGCCAATTCCTATACATACTCTTCATCAGACAATAATGGCTGTGACTTGCCTTTACTATCAGGAAGTCACCTATTTCTTTTCTTAGATACTCTGCGCAGAATTGTCTCGCAAAATTAGTAATCTTACTGATGTGAAATATGGTAAATCTTTCGATCTTGTGTTTGTCTCTGAACTATCTATGGTTAGATATCCTCTTCGGTAATAGTGTCATACATGCTATGTAGGGAAGCCAGCTCTTGTGTTATGTTCATGTCTTCATCCACACCTCTAATGAACAGAAACAGTTGAGAGGTGAAACAGCTGCCCAGCGACTCACCCATTACAATTGAAAAATGGCGAAACTTGCTTGAATTTTTCGCTATTTGAGTCACTAATGTCTGCAATACGTCAAGTAATTGTATTTGCACATAAAGCTATATTTTCAAATAGTTTTGAATTTTCTGTGCAAAGCTCCTCAGCAATTTCCAAAGCGGACAAAAAGATCGTCGCGGGCCGGATAAAATGACCTCGCGGGCCGCATACGGCCCGCGGGCCGTAGTTTGGAGACCCCTGATTTATATTATATACAACTCTCGCCCTTCTTTAATTTAACATTTTTTTTCCTGATGGTTGGCGCAGTCTTCTTTTTGTACTATTTCTGGCTCTATTTTACGTGCTCTGTATAATATGATTTCCCAATTTTTTTCGTATTCTCCATCGACTCGTATTCTGTGTTGGCCAATTTTTTTTATTGGGGGGGGGGGGGGGGGGGAATTTAACTCTCCCAAGCATTTACTCATCATCACCATTCACATGGACCCCTTGTTGAGAATTGGGACAGTTTTGTTCTCGGTTTTGGACGATAGCAATAAGTGATCAATAATTCAAGTAGAATTCAAAGGCGTTTAAAACCCTTTGTTATTCACTGACTAACGTTTGTCACTGGAGGGTAAAATATTTTACTCCGTCATTTTTTTCTGACAATTCTGTCATATTTCCAGAAACTTGTCTTCGTCCATTTCAGGTCTTGTACACATCTTTTATTGGGGCCATTAATTTCGGTTACGTAATACCCGCATCAGAGGGTATCGAATCAGCTGCGGCAGCTGCTGTCAAAGTCTTCGCGGTGATGGATGAGGTGAGTGAAGTACAACACATCACATTACAGTCAATCACACAATTATTTAATAAGTTATTCATTAAGTTTTTTTTTCTGTAAGTAAAGGGTGCGTTATTAGTTTTCATATTTTACGCACGAATGCTGCAATTTATTAAAAAAAAACGAAATTTTCGATTGTGATAAATTTATTATAATAAAAGTTTTTGCATAAACTTAACACTGTTTTTTTTACCAAATTGTTTAGAAACCGGCAGTTGACAGTAAATATGATAAAGGAACACAACCCAGTAGTTTTGGAGGAACAATCCAGTTTATTGACGTTGATTTTTCTTATCCTTCAAGACCTGATGTCCAAGTAAGAAAATTGACCAGAAATCCTGTATAGTTTTTTTCAAAATCTTTTATAAAAAATACGATACTCCTACTTTTTAAATAGTACTTATGGAATTATTTTCTTTATTACCGCATTTTTTTTTATAAAGTCACGTTTGTCATTCAAAAATGCGGTGATAAAGAAAATAATTCCATAACACGGAAATCGACCAGGTTTTGTCCAGCCTGAACCTACACATCGCCAAGGGTCAGACGGTCGCAATAGTTGGTGCCAGTGGTAGCGGCAAGTCAACCGTTGTCCACTTATTGTTGAGGTTCTACACGGCTCTTCGAGGTCAGGTACGGTAGCACATTTATTTGTTTAATTTGAAAATATTAAACTATAACTTTTCTTTTGAGAAATTAAGTTGAGCTTGAAGTTAGGACAATTCATGTTGCAATTTTTAAATTGATACCAAACTTATTACACTATAAATGGATTTATTTTCAATGACTCCTGTAAAAAAAGACACTGAGCTACCCTAAACTTTCTTTAATTTTAGTATATATCTTCAAGAGTTTGGTTGGCATTTCCAATTAAATCTGGCTATATAATTGGTGTGAAAGATTTTGACGAAACCATTCGTTTAAAAAAACAACTCAGAGACAAATAATTCTTAGAATATACTGCTTTATAAAATGATATAAAAATTTAAAACTTTGGTTTGTTAAAATATGACGTTTTGGATTTTTCTGTCCTATTAGAATACTCCCTGATCTGTAGACGAGAAAGTTAAAAACTAAGCTTACTAACCTTTTGTAAACATTTTTCCAGATATTAATAGACGGCAATGAAATTGAGAGCTTAAACCTTCGATGGTTACGTCAGCACATTGGTCTAGTCAGTCAAGAACCGGTACTCTTTGCTACGACAATCGCCGAAAATATCCGGTACGGTCTGAAGGATGCTAGCCTTGAAGACATCATTCAAGCAAGCAAAATGGCAAACGCCTATGACTTTATTATGAAGCTACCCAATGTAAGATAACCATCTTATAGTCTTTATATATCTGGAGGTTTTAAATCAATCAATATTTTTTTAAAACCTGAAACTTTGATTAGCGATTCGAGACGTATGTAGGAGAACATGGCGCCCAACTAAGTGGAGGACAGAAACAGAGAATCGCCATCGCCCGAGCTCTGGTCAAGGACCCAAAAATTCTATTGCTGGACGAGGCGACCTCAGCACTGGACACTGAGAGTGAGGCCATCGTACAAGATGCTCTAGATAAGGTGTGTTTATCACTCGTATATGGTTAGGTTAAAGTAAGTAAATCAATCTAGATATTTAGGTTAAAGTAAGATAATCCATCTTAGAGGCTTTGTATAAAGTGAGATAATCCAACCTAGATCCTTATGATAACTTATTTTAATCAATCTATGATGCTAAGAATTAGGAAAGTTAAAATTAAAGAAAGCCTGATGCAAACTTATAACTAACTACGTTCAGGCAAGACAAGGACGGACGACTCTGATCATTGCCCATCGCTTGTCCACCATACAAAACGCAGACATGATTGTCACGATATCCAAAGGTCATGTGCAAGAAACGGGTACTCATGATGAACTTCTCGCCAGGGGCGGAGCCTATTCCAAGCTTGTCCATTCACAGGTGGGTGGAGGGGCTTTCTGTTTGGAAATCCAACACTAAACAAAACAGCACACAAATGTGATCCAACATTGGACACAATCTTGTTAATCAGATCAATAATTTATGTAATCATAAATTTTGGCAGTAATGAATGTTACCAGCCCTTTACAACTTACATGCTAACTTTTCAAATGATACATTTGTTACAAAATTTGAGATTTTTTAAATAAAAGTAAATTTCTAATATTCTGTTCACGAATTCTTTCATGCATTCAGTTATCAAAACGTGAGTACATTTGTTTTACAGCGCAATATTAGTTTGTAGACTTAGATAGTACTTTTGATATTTTATATTCACATTAACAACAAACCAAGAGGAAATCTGTTACACTATTTCTGACTAAACCTTATCCCTCTTTAGTTGAACACGCAAGTGGCGGAGGTTCCAGCGCTTATGACGAAGAAATGATAAAACAACGAAATGGTTCGATGCTGCAAAACTTGGAAAGATCTTTGTCTCATCCGCAGGAGGAAGTAGGTTACCTCATATAACTAGCTAATTGCATACACATGTTCAGGGGAAAATTCCTGGCTTTTCAAAATATTTGGCTAATTTTTGTTTTAAATTTGTGAATTATATTTCAATTGTTTGAAAAGTAAATTTTCACAGTTGTCGTAAGATGTGTCTTTTTTTACCTAAAAACTTTACAGAAACTTAAAGTATTAAACATTGACTCATTTGGGTTTCCCAACATCTATCAGCTGTTTCATTTTTCGTAAATTGTTGAGTAAATATAAATAATGTTTCAAATATTTACCGAAGTTAAGCAACTTTTGAAAATTAATCGTAATGCCGATTTTGCAAGTTCAGTTTCTATATAAATCAATGTATATTTTTCTGTATATGTAAATTATTCATGGATATTTATGCATTTATTTAATCTTTCTACGTATGGAAAATGTAGAAAATTGTATAATAATCTGCCTCCCATTCTCATATGTAAATTATGGTTTCAATGGAAAAATAGAGAAAAATTGTCAGTAGTAATATCTTGTTTAGTGTTAACATGTACGTGCTCTTTATACACACAGACATATATACGCACACAAAAGCACACACACACAAGCTCACATACACACATGCACACGCAAACACACACACGCACAAACATATATATGTATTATATATATATATATATATATATATATATATATATATATATATATATATATATAGCAAGTTGAAAATTCTACTGAGACATTACAAACCCCAAAGAAAAACTCCATGCTCCGTATCCTGAAGATGAGCCTGAAGGACTGGCCGTACTTTTGTGCCGGGTCTACGGGGAGTTTCATCAGTGGCGCGGTCGTTCCGTCGTTTGCCTTTGTCTTCGGTGATGTCGTCAAGGTATACAACTGATAGCCTTTATATACCATCTCGTGTTAAGGCCAGATACCTCTATGTTTAGCTAATTCATTACAAATGTCATATTACAATTTGCGAATACAGTACTTTACAGTTAATTGTATGTACTATTCAGTGTTAAATTATATACGTTTTTCCCTCACAGTTTTTGTCTTCCAGTGATGAGAGATTGAAAGAAGAAATGATAAACAAATACAGCTTGATCACCTTTGGTATCGGATGTATTTACACGCTGGCAACTATTTTAATGGTACTTTAAAGTTATATTTAATGATGCCTACAGTTCCTCTGGTTTAAAACACTTACTTCCCCATTTTTATGCTAGTAGACCACGGTCACTCTCTTTTGTCTATTCCAGTACACCATGTTTGGCATATCTGGTGCAACGCTAACAACCAGACTCCGGGATCTGCTCTTTAGGTCCATCATCAAACAGGTAATAAACACAAACCTGCACAGACTGAAAATAGTTAAGAAACCTAAGAAATTAGCGGCTCACAAAAAAAAAAATTACATTCATGGTAGTATTTAAACATATTTTTTTGTTTTGTTTTCTGCTTTGAAATATTAACTTCAGGATATTCAAAACTCCACAGAGAATTTCATGGTTCGATGAACCCAGAAATGCAGTTGGTATCCTGACAACCAAATTGGCTTCCGAAGCGACTAGGGTCCAAGAAGTACTGCTTAAATAACTCAGTTTAAAAAAAAATGTGCTTTATCGTAAACTAAATTTTCAATGTCAAATAATATTTCCTTTGACATAATCGATATATATATATATATATATATATATATATATATATATATATATATATATATATATATATATATATATATATATATATATATCAGGTTTTGACCAACTCCATTGTGATGACGATCCATTGTGCCTCAGCTGTTTTATTATCTCTGTGTTTCTCCGCCTACTTCAGCTACCCCATAACCCTCATCTTCTTGGGTATCTATCCTGTCATCATGTTTATGTAAGTTTTGTTCGTCTCAATCTTACAAGAAGTTTAAAGTTTAATACATCACAAAATAAATGTAAAAATTACAGATAAGAAGGGTAAAGCTAATTATGGAGACGAAACATTTGTACTTTATTTTGGATGCCTAAATGTTATGGAAGTTAATTCAGAAACAAAGCAGACTAGAATGAGAGTCAACGGGTCGAATGGTTAACGAAAAGTTGACATCCAACTTTACAATAAAGAACGAAGAAGAAGAAGAAAGGGGTTATAGGCTTATTGTTATATAGTTTTGATATTTATCCCAAAGCTTCATATAGCTAATATTTCTGAGACTTTCATCACACAGAGGTAGAACTCATGTCTGGCTATCCAAGAAGTTCCACACAGAGACCAGCAAAGCTTTAGAGTCGGCCACAGCGGTAGGAATTCAAAATTTACTGACAATTTTTAGATTTTACTTTGACAAAGTGTTTGTTGGATTTTAGGTTAAACTGACGCACGTAGCGTAATGTATTCAGCTGATAATTTAATATTAGAGAAGGGATAAAGTTTTAATGTTATATTTTAAAGTCGATGGTTTAATATCAGTTGAATGTTTGGTAATTAAAATCAGATGGTGTGTTAATAATTTGACATGAATTTTAAGTTGGCGGTTTAAAATATTTTGTGGTAATATAAATTTAAGTTGATAGCTAAATATCAGTCCTAAGTCGATTGTTCTTATTGAGATAAAATTGATAGTTAAAATCAGTTTGTTAAAGCTGTTTATTTAATGTACGTTAAAAGCTAATAGTTAAAAATCAGTTGCGATTTAATTATTTGATATTGTTTGGCGTTTTGTGTTTAAAAATGAAATAAAATTGATAATGTAAAACAATTTAGAGCTGTTGTCGTAGTATCAGTTAAATTTTGATGATTGAATAACACCTCTAAGCTTATTGTAATATTATTTAGGATGTTATAGTTTTATATAAGTGGTGAGTTGAAGGTCAAATTTGAAATGAAATGATTTGAATCAGCAGATAGCTGATGGTTTAGTATACAAAAAAGAGCTCTCTATTCGCAGCTGGCATTGCAGAGTATGGTCAACATCCGCGAGGTTGCAGCGCTGACCATGGAAGAAGAATTTCACAAGAAATACGTCCAAACTTTAGAGAGGTCACCCCATGGCTTGCACAGGTACCTGGTGCTGACCAGCATCTGTTTCGGCACCTACCTGTTCATCCCTTATTTCGTCTACTGTGTTGGTTACGCACTTGGTGGTTACTTAATAGAGGAAGGGACTTTGGAATTTCCTGATTACATAAGGTACAAATAAAAGTAAAAACGAAAGTAAAATCTTTCACGAAAAATAAACGATACATGAAAAGTTAATGATAACTTTAATGTAGTAGTTGTTAATATTTAAATGCTTTAAATTTAATAATTATTTAAAGCATACTTTTTAAAAAGTTTACATACCCTTTTCAATCGTAACTTTGGTTATAAAAAGTAAAATTTACTCTTTAGAACTAACAATCCATTGGGCAGATGAAGTGGAGTTCATATGTTTCTTGACCTCGGCATATAAAGGGATGATGTGTTCAGTACTATACCCAGCCGCCTTTACTTTCCCTAACGTGAGTTAGGTACCCATCAGTTGGGTTGACTCAGGGACGTTCCACCAACTTGAACCTGGATTCGAACTCGAAACTATCGGGTTAGCAGTCTAGCGCTAAGTTTGGCTATATAACACACTAAATTCAACGCCAAAGACCGCTTTACGTTAGGACGGTAGACTTTATTTTGTAATTTTCGCGAGTCCAAAATGTACACACCTTGCTTTGAAAAAGTTTTCGCCTATAATCGATAAAAAATGGAACGAATTGGAATTTTTAACAAAAGTGTACCATGGAATTTTTGGCCTAGCCGAGAGGGGTGGGGTGTGGGGGAATATAAATCCTCCACTTTCATATAGAAATCATACCCCCTCCATTACAATTGACAATATCATAAAACCACTTTAAATTTCTTAAGTTCAAATATATATTTGTATATATATATATATATATATATATATATATATATATATATATATATATATATATATATATATATATATATATATAATCATTATATTGACGTTTTTACTTTGTCTTTTAGTACAGAGCTTTTTTAAGTGCCATAATTGTCTTTATACCATTTATGCCATAGAGTGTTCGAGTGCCTGATGGTTGGCAGCTTGATCCTGTCCAGGATAATGATGGAAGCTGGTGACTTCTCAGCTGCAGGAGCCGCCTGCAACATTATTTTTGCCCAGGTGGACGAGGCACCATCTGATGAAGAGGCTGCTGGAGGCTCGGTGACTTTAGGCAAGGTGGGTGGTTTTTTTTTTACATTTGGTGAGCAGAATCTACAGAGGGTGTTCAGAATGCGAGATGCTTGAATTTTGAGCTAGGGATAGTCACACTTTGTCCCATGATATCCAAATGATGTTAGAGAACATCATTTTTTTTTCCATTTCTTAATTCATTCACTTCATAATTTAAACAACAAAACGTTCGAATTGCTTATATTTAAAAAAATCATTTTTATACAAATGATATATAATTTAGCTTGAGTACAACGAGATCTATTTCATTATATTTAATGAGTTGTGATTTATTTCGTGATTCAATAAGCCACATATCCGCTTATTGTGTTTACTTTCTGTTTTGGGAAAAGTTCTCGGGATCAGTAAAGTTTTCTGGAGTTCACTTCCGGTATCCCACGCGACCTGCTACACGTGTACTTAACGGCCTTGACCTTAAAGTGAAGCCTGGTGAAACCCTGGCTCTGGTTGGGGAGAGTGGGTGTGGCAAGAGCACCACCATCCAACTCCTGGAGAAGTTCTACGCCATAGAATCTGGTGTTGTGGTAAGTTCTACGCCATAGAATCTGGTGTTGTGGTAAGTTCTACGCCATAGAATCTGGTGTTGTGGTAAGTTCTACGCCATAGAATCTGGTACTGTGGTAAGTTCTAAGTCATAGAATCTGGTACTGTGGTAAGTTCTAAGCCATAGAATCTGGTGTTGTGGTAAGTTCTAAGCCATAGAATCTGGTACTGTGGTAAGTTCTAAGCTATACACGCCTGTTCTGTTGTATGTTCTTTGTATATTTCAATGCCATTACAATGGCACATTCTATAATAAAGTGGGCACGTGGTGGTAATGCTTTGGACGAACTGTTGACAAAATCTTTTTTAAATAGTTTTTAGATAAAATTGACATTGGAGAATTGAGTACAAAATGGCTGCGTATGCAAATCGGCCTGGTGTCACAAGAACCAGTCCTGTTCGACAGAAGTCTGGCTGAGAACATCGCTTACGGGGACAACACGAGGGATGTGGGCATGGAGGAGATCATAGAGGCAGCTCGGACAGCTAACATACACACGTTTATACAGTCTCTGCCCTCGGTGAGTTTATACAGTCTCTGCCCTCGGTGAGTTTATACAGTCTCTGCCCTCGGTGAGTTTATACAGTCTCTGCCCTCGGTGAGTTTATACAGTCTCTGCCCTCGGTGAGTTTATACAGTCTCTGCCCTCGGTGAGTTTATACAGTCTCTGCCCTCGGTGAGTTTATACAGTCTCTGCCCTCGGTGAGTTTATACAGTCTCTGCCCTCGGTGAGTTTATACAGTCTCATCCCTTTGAACATCAGTGTGTTATTAAACATTTTAATATGTTATCTAATGACTACGCAAAGAGACGAGTTGTATGGTAGAGCTTACGAGTGGTGAGCCGAAAGTCTCGTGTTCGGAGTCCTTAGGACGTCCATGTGTACACCAAGCTCTGATTAGTATCTGACTTACTTTTTGGAAGCATAATGCTGACCACACCTTCACCTTGTATGCCGATGCAATTGAAACTGATGAATCTACTTCATAAGCCCCATTTGTCTTGGGTACGATGATGATGGAGCATATTTTTACATAGATATCATTATAAAAATAACATTGCGTTTCCTTGATTTTCAAAACAACGAAACAAGATCAATTAATTTCCCACTCTTCACACCACAGGGCTACGAGACGAACGTTGGCAACAAGGGAACCCAGCTGAGTGGTGGTCAGAAACAGAGAGTGGCCATCGCTAGAGCCCTAATCCGTAACCCAAAGATCTTACTGCTGGACGAGGCGACGTCAGCGCTGGATGCCGAGAGTGAAAAGGTAAATTGTGGGAGGTAAACGTAAACAGGTGTCAGGGCTTAGAGATTTATAACTCGAGATGTATCTAGCAGCTGTTTTACAGCGGTAAACGCTTAGCTAGGTACAATTTTAGAATGGTTAAGTTTTAGAAATTCCGCTGTGGTTTTCATCATCTCTTGACCTCATTGACATATTCATGAAATAATAACTAAAGCGAAGATAACTGTTGGATAATTATATAAAAAATATTTGAACATTATTTTTTACATACTAGTTAGTGAAAACATCAAGTTTCGGTGTTATTTGATGTTAAAACACATCACTTTTACCTACTCATTTGCAGGTGTTACTTAACAATTTACCTGTAATCTGCTCATCTTATTGTTTCACATCCACAGGTTGTGTTAGAGGCTCTGGATAAAGCCAGACAGGGTCGCACGTGCATCACAATCGCGCACAGGCTGAGCACGATAAAAAACGTCGACATGATAGCTGTGCTCAAGAGAGGTGTTGTGGCAGAAACAGGGACACACCGTCAGCTCAAGTCACAGAGGGGAGAGTACTACAACATGCTGACAGTACAGGCAGGGAACATCACGTCTTAGGGGAGAGTACTACAACATGCTGACAGCACAAGCAGGGAACATCACGTCTTAGGGGAGAGTACTACAACATGCTGACAGCAGAGGCAGGGAACATCACGTCCTGGGATACTTTGTTTTATGTCACTGTGGAAAAAACCTCCAAATATTCCTGTTACAAACATATGTTGAAAATTTTAACAATAGAATTACATCACTAAAAGAATTGCGCACCAAATGAACGTAAATATTATGCGTAAAATAGCGCGATAAAATTAGTACTTCATGTAGGAAAAGTTCTTAAAATATTAAACAGAAAATAAAAATAAAATTTACAGCCATTTTCCCCACGTTTTCTTTAACTTGCTTTCGCGTCTTTCCAATCAAATCTTGCGAGCGAAATTTCGGGCACTTACCAGTTAGCTAGCGCGCTGAAATTTTCAGGGAAGCTTTGTTTCCGATGACAATAGAATATTCAATTGTTACTATTACTAAATTGATCCATGGAAACATTTTTTTGATAATTTTAGACCGCTATATAATTGTACAAAAAACGTGGGGAAAAAGGGACATAACCCAGTAATTGTTTTTCATCGCTTATAGTAGAGTGATCGCTTGCATTATTGTGATGTATAGCATTTATTTTCTACTTTTTAGTTCAATCAGAAAACGTGGGTTTTTAAAAACTTTTTTAATGATAATTATTCATTAAAATTTTGCCTTAATGCTAGCGCCAAATTTGAAAGAAATTTGTCAGGTAGAAATGGTTGAAGTTTCACTCGTCAGTTTTGACCTATACGACAAAAGACAAAAGATATTTAGCACTAAGTAGCCTACGAAGAAACAAATTGAATAAAAATTTATGAAATATTTTAAACAGAAAATTTACCTTAGTATATAATACGAGCCGACCCGCGGCGTATCATACGCCGCTGTTTAGTTGTTTTATTTTCAACTTTTCATTAATTCATAATTTGTGAATTCGACAGTACCAATGCTGCCAATGAATATATTTGCTTTAAAACACTATCAGTAGCTCGTTAAGGTTCATAACCCCCCTCCCTCCTTTCCCCAAACCCTACCCCACCCCCCAACCCTGTGAAAGCAGCCTCCTCTTAGTTACCTCCCCTAAGTTTAAAATCGTTTCAAACTAAATTATCTGCCCCTAATAGCCGTCACTAAACCCGGCTCTATGATTGTAAACATTTAGCGTGAACCACAGCTCACCAGATCTTATAGGGGTGGGGTGGTAGGGAACGCGCTTGCAGCTTGGTGTTTTCTATCGTCTCCAAGAAGAGAGTTATATATTTAGATTATTTTTATATCACGGGGAAGCAATTCAGCGAATGCATAAAATGAAGAGTTAAACATTGATGCCATTTATATTGTTTTTCATCAGTGACAAGTACCGTTGGATATCAGTGTGAATGTAGGCCCATACTCTTTGTGTCACAATATCTGTAAATATGAAGTTTAAAAGGACACTAATTGTGTCACAATGTCTGGGCTGTGAAGATAGCGTGTTGATTCTAATGCTGTGTTTGCTTGTAAGTTATATTTCCTGCATGTCTATTCGATTGAGTAAGTTTTAGAGTGAGTGGTCGTTATCTCGTAACCAGCTAGGTGCGACGGTGTTTTGTGTAGAGCCTTTGAACCACATATCGACGGCAGAAATTGAGAGCTGGGCCGCCTTGAAGTAACTCAGGTACTTTAGTGTTTTACGGTTGACTTAAAATAGATCCTTGATTGTAAATTTAAAAAAAAAAAAAAACAGACTCCAGAATTTGCTTTAAAATATTGTAGGAAGAATTCATCACATAATGTGCTCTGAAAATAAACAATTAAAAAAAGCTTTCGAGAAAATAATGCAAGAGTTTTTCTTTATAAAAAATGTATATATATATATATATATATATATATATATATATATATATATATGTGTGTGTGTGTGTGTGTGTGTGTGTGTGTGCTAAGGCGCTATCCTTTAATTAAAAAAGAAGGAAAAAAACATTGTCTTTGACACGAGCAGAAAATCATTATGTAAGAAAAGAATGGATTGAATTTTAAGTATTTATACGAGCCATTAAAGACCAATTAGAAGAGCATAGTTTCTGTTTTGTGGGATGTTTGTTCTTTCTATTAGGTTCCAACATTAATATCAATTTTCAATCGGTTACATTTGAAAGATTTTCTAATTCTTCGATCATATAAATAACGATGCTATTTAGAACTACCGATAAACTAGAATCTAAAACTGAGGTTTATTGATTTAATTTAATTTTTAAAAAATTAAAAGATATTTTTCACATTCAATTTTTTTTGGTATAATGTATGACATTTATTTTAAAGCATTCGATTACCGTAAACCAAGGCCCTTATATTTTACACAAAATGCATGTACTTTTTAAGATAAAAATAATAAGTGTTATAAAAAATTATAAGAAAAAACATCGCAAAAACAATCGTAACACAAACCAAGAAAACACAAACGTAAACGTAACGCAAACAAAAACGCAAAGAAAAACGCAAACGCAAGTGTAAGCAGAAAACTCAAACACAAACGCACACGTAAAAAAAATTAAACCCAAACCAGAATCCAAACACAAAAGCTTTTTTATGTTGGTCTTTTGTCCTGTCTATCGTTTGGGTGTCGACCTTTTGTTCTAAACCCAGACGAAATATGGTCAACTTCTGATGACCAGAGCTTGGTGGACTAATATGTGTTTTACAGCCTCAAGCGTTATCAGTCGTATGTTCTACCAAGCTGTCACATATTACGTTAAACGTATAAGAATGTGAATAACAATATATTAAATCGATCGTTTGCTTCATATTAGGGTTAGCGTGAAATCGTCCTCACAGTTCATAATATAGCGACTCGATTCCACTGGATTAGGGGATTAACCCTCATTAATCATCACAGCCCTGATCATTGATTAATTCAAGTGAAACTGCAGTGTGAGTAATTCATCCACCTAAAAGAAGAAATTTACTACGCGGGTTATGACGCGGGTATTTATAAATTATAATACCCTGGTTTACGTCAAAAAGTATGGGCTTTTTGCTAGTTAAACTGAAAGCCATGTTCACTATATTATTTGTTGCTTGAGTACAACTACACACATAACCATAATTTTGCTTGAACATAAAAAGGCAAATGGACAGTATAATATAAAAAGGCGCCTCTATATATGTAGACAATATATAAGGCGGTATATAAATACATATATATATATATATATATATATATATATATATATATATATAATTCTCTTCATGGGGACCATACGAGACACCACGCAGCTTAGCCACCCAGTGGGGGAGGCAGGGGGGGGGGTGAGGTAGTGTCGAATTCCCAAATAATGAATTGTTAAGTAGAAAATAAAACAACTAGATAGCGGCGTATGCTACGTCGCGGTTCAGATCGTATATATATATATATATATATATATATATATATATATATATATATATATATATATATATATATATATATATATATATATATATCGAAACCTTATGAACTCTTGTTGTATATAGATACATGTGTGTGCACATCGTTTATCTAAGCGTTGCTCACAAAATGTTTAAAAATTATTATTATCTAGGTAATTATCATTAAGTAGTGTATGCAGTACACACGACATTTGACAGTTTGAATCCCCATGATGAAGCGCGAGCAACGGTTGCTGGTGACAGCTGAGTAGGAGCCCCTAACGGTCTATTTTAGCAGTTGATTGGCTGTGTGTTATACTTAATCTTTATTCTCAGTTCCTAACACACATTTTAGCCGCTGTTACTTTTTAAATTAAATTAACCTGGATTCATTTTAATCATAATCAAGTAAGTTATTTAAAACAAGTTCATGTTTTTAGCTAAAAGTTATAAAATAAAAGTTGATGTGTTGTTTGAATTTATTAAAAATAGACCTCACAAGCTGTTGTTTGCTGAAGAATGTACTTTATACATTCATTATTGTAAAAATTCTAAATCACGAACCAGTTTTAAGCCTTTATGGTGTTTCTTAAATTTCTGAGTAATGAAATAAATACTGTTGCGCGTAAACTATTGTTTTGATTTTTTGAAAAAAAAACAACAAAAAAAACAAAAAAAACATGAACACATACATGATATTGGGCTCTTCGTCTACCTATTACTTTTAGTAAAATAGTTTAACAACAAATATAAGTTTTTATAAGCTTTTCATTTTTTTTTGCTTAAAAATGTTATGGCAAAGAATAAATTACAACTATAATAAAAACCTTGCAACAAAGACACCCCTCACCTTTTTTTAAAACTCGAATGCTACGATGTTTGTCATAATATATATTATCTTATAAACAGCTACCATAGACAAACATGGTGTGTTTGTTCATGTCTCTTTACCCGTATTATTTTGTTTATATTACCTTTTATTTGTTTCAAGTGACCCGTGCTTTTGTTCTTATATGTACTGTGTTTTCTTCATGTTGGTGACATGTGTTGTTTCTTCTGTTGCGGATCCTCGTCTAGTCTAGTTTATGTTAACGACCCGTGCTGTTTCTTCATGCTAGTGACCTTTATCTCAAATGGAAAAGACCCTGAAAAGAGAAGACTTGTGGAGAATGAAAAAACAAAATCTAAAAGTAGAGATAAGAGTATTGGATACTGGGCCTTGGTAAGGACATTTTAATTTTTTCGGTTTGATTGTAAACATTACGTCGCTGCTAGACATTTTACATGCTGATATCTACTCTCCTTATACCTTACATTAGTTGCCTATATTAAAGTCTTCACAATACTCGAAACATAGTCATGATGTGAGCTGGAGTTGTACTTTCTGTTGCTACAGGTGTTATTTTACAAACATCTCTTTAACACAAACTACATTATATTTGTATTCCTTTATCTAAAGTTTAGATGCGCCGACACTCGAGACATAGTCATGATGTTGACTGGAGTTATACTGTCCGTTGCTATCGGAGCTGTTAGCACGACCAACCTGATTGTGTACTCGTCCTTCATTGGCTCATACATTGACAAGATCTCCGCTCAGAATCTACTTTCTGACGTCCGTGAGTTTTTCGTCGAGAGAAATATGTCGCTGGGTGACGTGTTCAGTAACGGACAGATCCTGAAGTGAGTTATGATTTTCTACACCAGAATATTAATATACACGCGTTTTATTGGAAAAGAGCAGCTTTTTGTATGATAACGTGTGACTCTGTTGTGTGTTTACTTGCTTTTGTTTGTATAAATACAGGTGGCTTCTTGTATGTGGGTGTGTGACTGTATGTGTGTATGTATCTAGCGAAGAGATAATGCTGCCATGGTCTTATAAAGACGGTGATTTGTGGTGATGTTTTTTGTACAGTAACAAAAGACTAGTTTATAAATACATTTCACTATTTTCTTTTTATGAATGAAACAGCTCATTGTGTAAAAATAATGTGGCTCATTCAATAAGACATACAAAATCAAGTCTTCAAAACCGGCATTACTATTTCAAAGTGGTTTAAAATATCGGAAGTTTACAAGAAACTATACCTTTGCCTAAGATTCCGATAAATATATTTCTAAAACTAGACATAGCCTCATATGAATCAGTTGTCACCACCCACATGTTCCAGTAAAAGCCAAATTAAATTCTCTCTAGGCCCTACTGCGAAGACCTGGTCACCTACACTAATGGAAGCCTGGTCTGTGAAGATCTGATTTCAACCTTAGATAACTCCCGTGAAGTATTTGACGCCATACTTGAAAGTTTGGGTGAGCTTATAGTATATTATGTTGCTCTAAAGTCCTAGTTTAAATTCCTTGAATCCGTGAAGATTTAAACTTAAATCTATGCTTACCATCAGTAATATGGTGATGACCTGCAATTTTTTAAATAAGATATTGTTGACAACGTATGTTTGACAAAAGAAACTGCCAAATAAATATGCACTACGATTTGCTCAACATAAACTATATTTGTCAAGAGGCATATGACAAGGTAATTCGATAAGAGATATTTCACTACAGATATTCTACCGGAGATATTTGACAAGAGGTATATTAATAAGAAATGTTTTACAAGCAGCAATATTGTCAAAACAGATAAAAGATAATATTGACTAGAAATGTTTGACAAGACATGTTTGACATAAAATTTTTGATCGGTGGTATCTTACAAGAAATATTAGACAAAAGATATATGAGAAGAGATACGTGACGAGAGACAACTGAAATTATGGACACTGACCATCCTACCCCAGGTATCTCCATGGTCATGCTGGTCGGAGGCACCATAGCACAAGCCCTGTTTGGTTGGACAGCCCAGCGTCAGGTGTTGAAGATCCGCCAGCGTCTTTACAGTAAAATTATTTGCCAAGACGTCGCTTGGTTCGACAACAACAAACCCGGAGACCTGGCCGTCAAGATGACAGAGTCTGTAGTCTTTACCATCTTCTCATGTAGTACTTTGTTCGAAACACAGGACTTAACCGATTTCATTATCTGAAAATTAAAATATAAGGCAAAGTTTTCAACAATATCTAATATTTAATCCCATTCGAAATTATATTAGTTATTAACATTAGAGTAAAAGATTACAAATTGCAATAATTTGGCGAGACATAAAAAGAAAAAAAAATGTTTGCAAACGCTTTATCCGATTATGTTGAACTGTTATTTAACGGCTGGTTTGTTTTATAAGACAGGGTCTTATTGTCTTTAGGGATAGCTTGCTACTGATCACGTTTTAAACGCAAACATTTTAATATAAGCTTTTATTATATTTTTGTCGAAATTGTACTAAACAGAAAAAAACATTATTAGAGAAAATTCTCTATTATTTTTTAATGCGATATTTATTACATTTTTAAAAGTCTGAACGATTTATTACATTTCCTCTCTCTGCTGATGCGCCCTATTGAATCCCTTTTGCTACTTTTGTTTTCAGTGATATTAATCTGATCTATCGGGCGATTGAAACTAACATACCAATGGCCTTGCAGTGGTCATCTACAGCAATGTCCAGTATCGTTGTGACCTTCATCTACGGGTGGAAGATGACCCTGGTCATGTCAGCTGTCCTGCCGGTGTTGATAACTGGCGCAGCTTTGGCTAGCAGGGTAATTTAATATTCATTAATTAGCAAAAATTTAATTAATTTCAATCAAAATAAACACAAATTAGATTTAGGGCACGGCTATTCAAGGTATTGTTATCAGCAATAGGGCTGGTAAGTAGGTCACCAACCAGTTATAAAGCTCATGCAGGTTTTATTGAGCCGTAGAACTGGATGGTGACCTACTTAACAGCCCTATTGACGAATTTTTCCAGAGATGCTATTATCGCTTTGATAATTGTTTGAGGGCAATTGGGTCGACTATTGAATCGTTTCACGCAAGCATTCATACATTCGTTTTATTTTTCCAATTTTATTTACCCCTTCTCTATTTTTATTTGTTTGCGATTTTTTTTTGGCTAATCTTGTAATCTAATTTTAACCCACTTCTAATGCAGCAGCAATTTCCAGATAATTTCGTCTCCGTTGACAATGCAATAATATCTAAATTTTTATTCTAATTGGACATCAGGTTAATCATTGAATTTAATTAAAAGACTACTAAATTCGAGATTAAATATTACTGATTGTTGTTGTCGGTTGGTTGATTTTTAGCATGAGAGTCAGCCACCCACCAAGAAGAGGCATATACATTTGTTTAGAATTCGTAAGCTACATATGGGGTTTTAAAGCAAATATATTTAGTCGTTTTCGCTGTCGACTTCATTAAGAACCAATGAACTTTTTTTTAATGTTTCAAATTAATAATGGTTAGAAACTTAAATATGAACTTACAGTTATAATTAAAGCTCTAAAATATAAAAATAAACCTAACATGAAAATATTCAATTTGTAATACTTAGCTTTAAAATCCTATGAAAATAAGAAAACTAAAAAAAATTAATGTCTGTAAAAAAATCTTTGGTTGCTAGAATATGTATATGACATTATAATTGGATAATGCTTCTATTTGAGTAAGCTAGATTGTTTTCTTTATATTGTTTTCAATTGATATAAGATCTTAAAACTGTAAAGTTTTATTTGATTTATTATAACCGCATTACACCTTACATTATTAACTAGTGTTGAGTCAAAGTTTTCTATTGGCAGGGCAGAGGAAAGAAGAACATGGACGAAAGAGAGGCGTATGCTGTAGCAGGGACGGTGGCAGAGCAGGCTTTCTCCAACATCAAGACCGTCGTGGCGTTTGGTGGGGAAGAGAAGGAGGCTCAGAGGTAGGAGGCGTTCTGGACATGGGATACATTAGCGCTAAGCTAGAAGTACGTTTTACCAACATTCATGAAAGCTAGTTTCAAACAGCAAAATAAAGAGTGTTTTGTAAGAAGGCACCATTATCCGAGAATGTAAATATAGGCTACAGATAAATCTAGTTTCAGATACTATACGAAACTCTTAGATAACTCAGTTACAAGATCTTTTGTTAACAGCTGCAATAGAAAGAATTCACGGAAAAGAACTGTAACTAATGAATTTAAAAAAAAAAAACGACGGCCTGTTATTTTACAAGCAGAATTTTTTAAAGGGAAGACGTGGTCGGACAAGAGAACTAATGGTTGCAAATTACTAAAGTCCCAAGTTCGGACCCCAAGACAGAAGAGATTCGTTAATTGGGGACAACAAGTGATCTAGAAGAGAAACGTCTAAAGCCATCAACTGCTACCTAAATACTGCTTACGGCTCATAACACATTATGCTTAAACTGTGCCGGTCGAAATATCTTCTTACATTACAATTACGAAGGAAGAAGTTTTCACTAATAAATATTAGTCTTCGGAACAAAAGACTATTGAATTTTATTGAAAAATTCTTTTAAAAGACTAAGTTGTCATTTAAACCATTACATTGACACCTATTTAATAAATCAAAGTAGTATTTTTTTTTTCGTACACTGTTAAAGCAACTAAAATTATTATCATTTTTTTACACAGATATTTCATCAGTTTAAAGAGGGCTCAGCGATCGGCCGTAGTCATGGGCTACCTACATGGGATAGGACTGGGGATTCAGTGGGGCTTCTTCTATATGGGATACGCCTTGGGCTTTTTCTACGGCGGACAGTTGGTCAGGCATCAAGAATATACAGTCACTCAGATGATGACGGTAAGTCATAAGTCAGTAATCTCCTGTCACTCACATGGTGAGGGTAAGTCA